CTATCTGGGGGGGGTGAATATATATTTCTGGGATCCCCAATTAAACCGTGTGTGCGCGCACGCACAATTTATACATATTTCTGGCTTGGCTTCTGAGGAAGCAAATTCTATTTAACCATGACTGTCCAGTTTTAAAATATCCTGGTGACCTTTCAGTCCCAGGCAAACCTAGACCATTCACTGGTCACTCTGAGACACCCTCGCCAAGACAGATGCAGCTCACCAAGGAAGATGAACTCGTCCCTGTCCTGCTAGTTTGGGCTCTGAGAACAGAAACAGGAGACACAAGTATAATCTTGTCACATTGACAGTTTTTATGAGCCAAGAGCCTGTAGGAGGACAGCAGCCACCACGGCAAAGCAGCAATTCCTTTGAAAATAGATACATACACACAATCCCAGGGTAGGGATGGCTAAGTGTTGGTGGAATTAGACAGCTGGTATCTAGGACCTCTGCAAGCATCAAAGTAACAGGCTACCCCAGGCAAGACAGTAATGCATGTCCTAAGAAGCAGGAAGTGCCCCAGGCACTGTGGGTCATTGGGGCAAGCAGAGAAAAACACAGGGCAGCATGTGATAGGCACTTGAGGCTCTGACACGGACAAGCACCGGCCATGCCACTTGAGCCAAAGCCACCTGAGCAAACAGTTGAAATTATACCACATGTTACCACATGAACGCACGGAGGCAGGTGATTTGCCCTATAGAAGCAGCTTGTAAGCCCTGGACAACTGGATCAAGTCCCTGGGAGAATTTCAGCGTCACCTGGAGACTTCTCACTATCAGGTCACCTGGGGAGCCAGTGCTGGTATGTGAGGCTAGAGTCACCAGGCCAGGGCAGAGGTGGGCACAGCAGAGCACTCCCCAGCAGGGAATTGCAGTATTGGCTGGGCAAGGTTACAAAGTCCATGGCCTGGGGACAGATCTCTGTGGATCAGCTTACTCAGTTGTGCAATGTCACCTATGCCCCTGTTATTTTTGGTTGCACTGTGGAGCCAGCCATGTTACGATGGAGGGGTGTGACTCTGCCTCTGCTGTCCTTAGTTCATGCTATGAGATTTCTCCCAGGTGCCGAGGCAATGGACACATGCCCCATGCCTTCCCTGACCCACCCCAGGGCACTGAGGAAGGATGATACACTTCTGCCTGGGGTTACTCTGAGAGGCTACAGTGTGTCCAGAAGTGAGGCAGGATTTAGAACCCCAAATGACAAGTGCTGGGGTGTCAAGCTGATTCCAGCCAGGCAAGGATATGGGCTAGTCAGTCTCTGGGGAGGGACCACCATGCTCAGGTGGAGCAGACCCTTTTTTATACTCTATCCTTTAAGGGTTCCCGCCAAGGCGGAGGGTGGAGGCAGTAGCCAGTAGAGGAATCCTGGCCCTCAGATGAAGATGTCAGTAGGGGAGCAGGCAGAATTTAGAGGAAACTTCTAGAAACCTTTATTGATGGGTGAACCAGCAAGCAGGAGGATGGTGGAGGTGGTGGCAGGGCTTGCTTTTTCACTCATCCAAAGAGAAGATGAAAATTACCAGCAGTTGGTATTGGCAGTGGCTGCGCCATTCATCAGCCACAACCATGCCAGCTCAGGTCAGGTCACCATGGACACTCATTTTGCTTTCAGGAAGGGGACTGATTGGAAACCAAGACCATATATTTACAAGTGCAGTGTGAACAGTACTGAGTGTGCGCCTGAGCTTCCCCGCTCTCTGGAGTTGGGCTCCTCAGCTGAGGAGCCTTAGAGACACGGTCTGCCTGTGGCAGGAGGCAAGTCCAAAGGGCATTCTGTTGCAGGCATTCCCTGCTCCACCAGGAAACAAAATCCATGGTGGGTGCTCTGCTCTGGCTCTTACCGTGGCTAGCTAGCTCATACCATCAAGAATATTCCCGTGCTCAGAGATCTACTGATTAGTGTCAGCAGCGCCCAGACTGTGCTCAGCTGAGGCTTTGCTCACACACGGCAAGACCATGGGCTGGAGAATGGTCAGTCAAGACAAACCCAGCCCTGAACCAAGGTGTGCCAGAGGGGTCATGGGAAGTCTTCCAACACTCCTTGCCAAACTCCAAAGGATTGGCATCCGGTGCGCTCACAGGGACACTTCACTGCAAGCATTCCATAAAGGTTGTTTGGATATTAGTACCAACTCCAGGAAATGCCCAAAGATCAGAGTTTTTTTTTTTTTTTTTTTTTTTTCAATTGGCAATTGGGTACTTTTGAAAGAGCTGCATGCTGGGTGACCTCCTTGGAAAGTGGTGGTGCCATTAACCAATGTGCTTTCTTGACTGCATAAGGCTGTTTTCTGGGGGTTTTCCCCAGTGTGTTCGACACACAGAAGTTTCTTGTAGGTGAGCAACAAGCTTGGAAATGTGCATCTAATAGAATCCTGTCATTCTACAAACAAACAAACAAACAAACAAACAAACAAATCAGGGCCTTGGAGGAAGACAGAAATTCGCCACAAGTCACACAGCGCAGTGGTGGCTGGGTTGGGTCCAACCCACAGGTTCCTCAATTCTTGGCCCATGCTTTACCACTAAAGGCAGTGTAGAGGCTGGATGGACAGTCTCAGTGGGCAGTTCTTCACACAGTGAGGGCATCAGTGTCCCTTTGACATGACCTTGAAAGCAAAGCAGGCTTAACAAATGAGCTGAATTCATATTCACATATCGTAGGAATAGCACTGTACCCCTTGATCTTTGTACCACTTTAGTTTTTATGCACATACTCAGTACTTAGGGCTCTTTTCCTTAAGGTCAAACCCTTTGGCCATGTGCTTGAGCCAGGCAGTGGGTTACTGAGGCTGCACATCATCTAAATACCACTGGAGCAGTTTCTTTTTCGGACACTCCCTCCCCACCCCCCCCAGTCCTTGGGTTATTGATACCAAGGGATCTAGATGTTCCTTGATACTGTGGAGCTGGGAGAGGGAGTCCAGGGTTACAGAGGTCAGTGGTGATGTGTGACGTATGCATCAAACAAACCATTGAGCTCTGGCTGCAGATGCTTGGGCATGTCTTTCTAGGCATCTCATAGTGCTAATTCCATGCTGGGTGAGAGCTGGACTGCTCTAAGCCATAGCCACGGTCCTTTCCAGGTTCCGAGGTCCCAGGATCAAACTCATGGGCAGATGCTGGCTAGGCAGTTCAATTTCCTCATTGCTAGAGGAAGAGAGACACCTGGGGCGCAAACACATGTCCAAAGCTACACGGAAGTCCAGCAAAGCCATGTTTACCAAGAGGGAATTTGGGAATGTTAGCCAGAAGAAGCACATGAGCTCTAGAATGCTAAGAGTCACTGTCAGTGGGAGCATCGAGACTGAGATCTGAGTCTACTTGTTCTGACTCACAGTCTGACCGTTTCTCCTCTCATGATGACCAAATAGGGGATACTACCCTGGCTGTCCTGGAGGATTGAGGGCTGCTGGCTTTGTAGGGAAAGTAGTGGGAGTTTTGGTGGAACAGGAGAGTTGACAAGTCTCTCCTCATTATCGCCTTGGGCCCTCAGGCAAGGCAATCTACATTCCTGTCCCTCTTGGTCATACTGATATTAAGCCAATGGCCAAGGTTTCGTTCCACCCTGAGGCCAGTCTGTTTTCTCCCCAGAGGGTGAATTAGAAGCTGACAGTCAGTGAAATAGGGACTTGCCTCTTCAAAAGGGTTGTTCAGAAAGGGATGGGCCCTCTGGGAAGTTGCAGCAGTGTAACCAGAGGCAAGGCAGGGCATGAGGGCAGGGAGCAAGCACCCAGATCTTGTTGGGCCTGTCGTCTCTGTCCCTTCACTCAGCTGGTGTTCTGGGGAAGCATCCCTACTTCTAGCTCCTTAGAATCCCTACTTCTAGCTCCTTAGAATCTCCTTGGAGCTGTCACGTGGCTCACATCCCATAATCTGTGAGTTGGTTTAATCAAGATTTGTCTCACTGAAAAGGAGACATAGGACTTCATATCAGGGTCTTAGGGACACTTTTTGGAGACATATATGAGGTGTTAAGACCTTAGAAAGAGGGGATTTATAGGGCCCACAGATCCTGTCTAGGGTCCCGGGCTAGTGTCCTTGGTGAGATCCACACTTCTGGGGAAGTGTGAAGGGGGAGGGGTGGTGCCTAGACAGTCAGACATTGGTCCACAGGTATCACCTGGTGCTCCTGGATTGAGGGAACCTGCACAGCTCCTGCTTTGATGTTTCAAGACCCTTTTATTCCCTCCCATCTCCAGACACACTGCAGCCAAACCTGTTGTTCTGCTGCAGTCAACTTTTCTCTCTGCCTGATAATGTGGTGTGGTCACATGGACAGAGACCACACTATCCCAGAATGCTACGCACACAGAGGCACTCTATCACCTCCTTACCAATGGATGGAGTCACTTCATCCAACAATGGAAGTCATGCAAATTATTTAAGTCTGGTTTCTTCACTGACTCCTGTGAGCTCGCCTATTCTAGACTAGATCTGCAGACTGCAGCTGCTACAGTCTACTGTTTTGGCTGGAAGGGAGCCTATCTCCCCATGGTCGTGTCCACATCTTCTTAGATAGGAAGCCAAACTTAGTACCAACCATGTAGTATGCAACTACTAGGAAGAATCTTTTGCAAAGTCATGGGAGGGATAGTTCTTTAGTTGGCTTCCCAGTGGGATTTGGAGCCCCTGGACTGTTACCATGGAGACACAAACCTATCCCACAATGCAATAAACAGAGGAGGTTTCTTGGTGCCTGAAGCAAGCATGTGGTTCTGGCTGTTTATCTTTGATGGATTTTCTTATCTACCTTTTTACTGGAGAGGGGCATTGCATTCCCAAGTGCATGCTAACATGGTATTTCTCTGGGGAAAACTCAACTCTTCTCCCTGCTCCCCCCCCCCCCCCCCGTGTATGTGTGTGTGTGTGTGTGTGTGTGTGTGTGTGTGTGTGTGTGTGTGTGTGTGTTTCTCTTGCCATGCCCCAGTATCAGCAAGTTCTGGAGCTGCCTGAAGGTCTAAATGAAAAGGGATATTGGGTCCATTAAAAAAATCTAGTAAATGGCGGTATTTCACCCTCTTGTTTTGTAGATGGGAAACTAAGGCCCTGGTGGGGCAGTAACTGATCTACAGTTAGTAGATGGTAGCAAGGTTGGGATTGAATTCAGGCCTGCCCACTGCCAGTCCAAGGCTCTTTCTAGTAACACTATATTGGCTACAGCTTTCAAAAAGTTCCCCTACCAACCCAAATGGCCCATCCTTCTCCCTGTCCCCTACACATAATTGGGGTTGTAACAGAGCATATTGAACTCCAGGTTCTCATTCCAGTGTCGCAGAAGCACGAACAGCTGGCGAGCTGTGGCCTTGAGTGTGTTTGGTGTGCGGCCCTCGGGCACCTCCTGCTGCTCCAGCCACGAGCTGGCCTTAGCAGCTACCAGCTCCCACTCAATGAAGTAGGAAGCTGAGTTGTGTTCCAGCCACGCCAGTGCCACCACGGTGGCCCACAGCTTTCCTGTGTGCTCCAACAGTGCACTTGGCTCCAGGCCTGAGCTGCCTCCAGCTTCAGACTCTAGGGGGTTGTCATCACAGGCTGGGGGTGGAGATGACAGACTGATGTAATGCTGTGGACTCTGGGGGCTCTTTGAATTGTGCCGGTGGGTGGTGAGGGACATTCGGAGGCAGATGAAGGGTGAGGTCCACTTAAGTTTCTCCATGGGGACCTGGATGACCTCGCAGAAGGCTTGGTTGAGCAAAAAGGCTCCCGAGGCCAGCTGCAGAGACACCTGTGGACGGAGAAGCATCACAGTCGGCCCCAAACCTCTCAGGCCGTGGAGTCCCAGACCACATGAAATCCAGAGCCACACAGTCTGCCCTTTCATCTCCTCCTGCCCACTCTGCCTATTTTGGGACACCCCAAGTCAACTGGGCATGGCCTCATTTTATTCCTTTAGCATCAGGGGCCAATTATTCTCCAAGCCAAACTCACTCACTTTCCTGGTTCCAAACCTGCCTCTTACCCTGTGGGGCTCTGCTTGGCCACTGCGATTGCGCAGGCCTGTCTAGAGGACTCTTGTCTGCTCACCTCTGTCCCTGCAGGTGTACTGGTCACTCTCCAAGTCCTAACAGGCTTGGCAGCCCGCTGCCTGCCTCCTCACCTGTCCCCTGCTCCCTCTCACTTTCCTCCTCCATAGCCATCCATCTGCCTTGCACTCAGAGGGACCTCCTTTTACGAAGCCTAGCTCGTGCATGCATTCTCGGAAGACCCAGATCAGTTTTCTATTAGACCAAGTCCAGTGTGTGATTTATAAAGCCTTTCACTACCTGGGTCCACTTTCCTGAACTCTCACCCCTTAACTCCATTATGCAGATGCCAAGTTGTCTCCCCTCTTGGCCTTTGGTCATGGCTCCTCAAGATTCATGTCCTGGCTCAGCCATTGCCTTCTTCAGGAAGTCATACTCTATCCGGTCAGTAACCCCACCTCAGCCCTCAGGGTCATAGCTGTATTTCCCAACAAAGAAAACCTCCCACTGCTCCCAAGGGTTAGGATTGCCTGGTTCCTGGTCTGCCTTCCATGAGGCTTCATCCCAGGAACTACATGTATCTAACTCAAGGTCATCTCCTGGGGGTCTGCAATGAACCTGACTCAGTTAACACTGTCAGAGTGACTGTGTAAGTACTCATCTGCCTTGAACATTTGGGGATTCCGAATGACACCATGTACATATTTGGATGTGGAGGGATGGAGACATGAGGTGATGTACCCAAACTTTCACACACTGCATGGACCCCAAGCTCAGGGACACTCAGAGGTGGCAGGATCTGCTTGCCTTGTTCCTTGGCACCCCGGGCCACCTGCAGAGCCACTTTTGGAGCCTGGGCATGTCCTCAGAATGTGACTTTTACTCACTTTCAAGTCATTTCAAGGGTTATTTTTATGTACTGAGAACAGACACGTGGCTGATGTTGTAGGACACAAAGTCCTGTGACTTTTTAAGGCAAGGTCAGCAGAGTGCAGAAAAGCTTCTCCACACTGGCACTGGCTAAAACACACACCCCACGTGGGAACTCCTGACCACTCTGCCTTAGTGGCTGGCTGCTTAGATGGAGAGTTCTAGGAAGCTGGGATGGGGTGTTCTTTGGCTAGGAGAACTGAGATAAGAGCTCCTCCCTTTTGAAGAGTGGAAGGCGTGGCCAGGGGCTGAGCTAGGTGGGAGGGGTCTGAGGTCTGGAACTCACCAGTGGTATATAGTCGAAGCTCTGGCTCCCCGGAGTTGGCTCTGGAGTCTTGGTCAGTGATTTGCTGAGAAAGCCTTTGGCAGCTCGGGTTAGCAGCTTGGGCTTGTTGAGATTCAACCTGTGTAGACAAAAACAGGTTCTCTCTGGTCATCCAGACCTCTGGTGCCTGCCCAGCAGCCACTGAAAGGCAGAGCCAGAAGGACCCAACAGATGGCATCCCTCAATCTCCTCACTTGACAGCCAGGGAAATGGAGGCCCGGAAAAAGGGAATGTGTCCTGTTGATGCCTAACTTGTCTGTTTACAACAACAAGGCAATGAATAGGTCAGTGTTCTTCTATGGCCGTCTATGGATACCATGTCCATCCAAGTCGAGGGATGAGAACCTCCTAAGATGGTTGTGACAGTTGATACTGTCAACCTGACAGGATCTAGAATCATGAAGAGACCACTCTCCAAGCTAGCTAAGGAAGGATGACCCACCCCATGGGCCGCACCATTCCATGGACCTGGATCCTGGACTGAATGAAAAGGAAAATTTGAACCAAGCCCCAGCCTTCTTACTTCAGACATGATGTGACCAGCCGCCTCACACTTGTGAGGCCATGCCCACCACATTGTGATGGAGAGGGACTGTACCCTCAAACCAAACAAGCCCAAGGCAAACCCTCCACAAGTTGCTTTGCTTGGGTGATTTTTTTTTTTCCCCACAGCAAAGAAAAAAGTAACCGTTTCTTGGCCTTCCTTCCCATGAATGTTTATGTTCAAAGAGACCTTGGAAATGGTCAGGGTATTTAGGCAGCTTGAGATCCGGTACACTGTGGCAGCTTTAGGTGAAAGGGCTTTTTAGCACCCTTGAGGCAAGGGAGGCTGGCTCTGCCTTTGACAGGAAAAGGAAGGAAAGTGCCGTGTTCTGAGAGGAAGTTCTACTTACTTGGATCCAAAGAGAGCCTCAGGGACCTTCGTGGAGGGCAGGGCACTGGTGGACAGGTGAGGGGGACCTGGAGAGTCACAGAATGACAGACTGAGACTTAATAGGGGACTTGTCCACCGAGTCACCTCCCAGCTGGGGAAACAGGTTCTGAGTGAGTGGGGGCAGATGTCTATGTACAGATGGTGCCAGGATGTGAACTGATTGCCAAGCAGCTGCACCCCAGATGCAGTGGGCAAGGGTGACATGGGTAAGGGGTGGGTGCCATGGGCAAGGGTGACTTGGGTAAGGGGCAGGTGACATGGGTAAGGGGCAGGTGACATGGGTAAGGGGCAGGTGAGCCTATAGGGTTCTTGAAGGCAGACCCTGGCATCTTCTAGGAAGTGACTGTAGCAGATTCACACCAATTGCACCATTTCTGGAGTAGACACAGAGTTGATAACACTGCTAGAGGATGCCATGCTGGGTGTGACGGGACAGTAGCCCCTCAGCTAGGACTGGGGGGGGCCAACTCTAGGTCCAGCTCTATAACGGACTTGCTAAATTACATTGGGCAAATTGCTTTCCCCCTTTCAAGCCTCAGCTTCTTCATTTTTAAACTGGGGACAGTCCTGTCCATCTCTTGCTGGCTGTTCTGAGACATCAGTGAGCTTCTAGGCACTCCGTTGGTACTGAGATACCTCCCAGCCCCTAGCACACCACACATCCACCACCACAGTGAGAGGGTCAGTCCAGCTGCCTGCTTACCTTCTGCAGCAGTGTGCTTCTCGTGGCCAGGAGACAGGATTTTATTGAAGGTTGAAGTAGGGCTTTCTTCTAGGGCTGCAACAGAGGATGCCAGTGGGGTCTGAGCACCTTTCCCCTTCCCTTCTTCCTACCATGCTGGGCTCCAAGACCTAACACCCCCCCACTCACTAAGCAGTGGGCTCTTGGTAATGGGACTTTATCAGTTTACATTGTAAATTGGGGCTAAGGACATCTGTCTTACAGTGTCATTGGACGGAGTCAGGTAATGCTCAGTGCTTCACCAAGTGTGCAGCCGTGCACTCAGGGACCTCTTAGTGTGACCACTGACAGCCTTTGGTAGGGAACTGGGGGGGGGGCGTGGTAGAGTAAGAAGAGTTGAAGGACTGGAGATGGGGGACTTGAACAAAGCTTCAATGGAAGGCTCTGCCTGCTGAAGGCTGAGATGTAGAGAAGGAATGGTTAGACCTGAGAGTTCCAGAGACTCAATGACTGGGCTCAGCAGGTCCCCTGGGGCTTGGGCACAAAAAGACCAAGACATTGCTCTTAATTCTGTGCAGAGTCACTCTGGGCATCCAGTCTTTCTTTTACTATCTCTCTGTGGGTGTCTGGCTAGGGTCAGGGTGTGGCTTCTGGTGTCTTCCCCTTGTTCAGCAGAGGGCAGGATGTCTCCACTGTGTATGGAGGTTTGCAAGGGAAGGAAGGGGTCAGTATGAGTACGGGCTATCTGTGGACAGTCAGAAAGACCGGCATATATGAAAGATGCAGAGAAGCCAGTCTGGCAATCAGCTCAAGGTCACACAAAGGTCACGCATGCTGCAGTTCTGTGAGCTCCAGGCAATTGAGTGAAGGCTGAAAGGAGGGTTCTAGGAACCAGCAGATGGTGGGACCAGAACAGATCAAATGGCCTCTTTGGTCATGGCTTGCTCCTGCTCCTTAGGTTTTCCAGAACCCAGTGTCTGGGGGAACCAGGAGGCTGGAGGGACAGCAGCTGAGGGTGAGAGGGGCCGCTGTGCAGGAAGGCCTTGCAGGAAAGCCCTGCCTGCTGTTTCCTGCTTCCTGCGTCTGTACAAAGCTTTATACTGGAGTCATATCAAACCCCTGTGCCTACAGTAATCCTCCAGAACCCGAGAGGCCTGGCCTTGCCCTCTTCTAGCTCAGGGATCCAAGATGGCAGACTCAGAGAGGGCCCCTGAGGCCTTGGATGTAGGGGTGCCTGGACTTCTGAGCACATGAAATGGCATTTACCTAGGGTCTGGAATTTGCTGTCTCCTGCAGCTGAGGAGTGCTCTCTGAGCACTGACTGGGGCTTTCTACTGCCAGCAGATGAGACCCTCCACTGTCGGGTCAGGTTTCGGAAGCTCATCATTCGTAGTCTGGCACCTTCGAGGAGGACAAGGAAGGGTAGGGAATCAGGTGGGTGTGAATCTATTGGCTTCTGTCCTATCCCCAAGGCTGTCAGCAATGAAGAAATGGCCCTTTTTTAATTAACCCAAGGTAGGCAAGACTATGAGCCTTAGGACCAGAAAGATCTGGGTTTGAACTCCGGTCCCATCCCTCATTAGCTGGATAGGATGTGAACTCTGAGCCTTGGTTTCCCTATCTGGAGAATGGGGATAACAATCTCTAATCTCTGTCTTACCAGGTAAATATAACTGCTGACCTATTGTGAAACGGCCCATGTTTCACAATGGGCCCTCCCCCCATCCTACACAGATCCTTGAAGCCCCAGGCATTGCCAATGGAAGGCAGAAGGGCAAAGCCAACTCCCTAAAGTATGTTTAGAAGACCGCATTCTAGAGAACGTTAGTCTTCAAGTTGTTCCTTACAGATAAGAGCTGTGTTTCTGGGAAGTCAGCTTAGTCAGTAAAGTGTGCAAGCACTTGAGTTTGAGTCTCAGAAGCTTGGTGTGGGGTGCACACTTATCCCAGTGCTGGGGACGCAGAGGTAGGAGGATGCGGGATGTGGCCAGCTAGCCAGCTAGCCTTTTCACTGAGCTTCCAGCCAATGACATCATCTCAAACAAGCAGCACCGGAGGAACAACACCTGAGGTTGACCTCTGGCCTCCATATGTGGGCACACACACGTACGAATACAAACACACATACACCCACATGGTCACACACCTACAAATACACAAATAAGCATCAAATAATAGTCTCGTTGGGGAGTAGATTTGGAAAAGCTGCAGACCACAGTCCATTCCCCAGGTGTCTTGATGTGAACTAATACTTTAAGGGCTCTGAGACCTCCTGCAGTAAAGAAAGCTCCTAGCTTTATTTAACCCAGGGTCCTTGAATGCACTCCCTGACTTGATATTTTCTATTTTTTGCACTAGACAGCTATTTACAGGCTAAGAAATAGGGCTTTGGTTTCTCAGCACACATATGGGGACTGTTGGGTAGGGGCTTTGGGATTTGGGGTAAGAAGTGCCTGGGTTCTTGATCTCCCAGGCTGCACTATATACGTGCAGGCCATAGGGTCAGAGTTGGGTGAGGGGAGTAAGAGGCTTCCCTGAAGCAGGAGTGGGACTACAGCGGGGCCACAGCCTCTGGTCCAGCCTTGGCCGTCTGAGCTGGAAATAGGAGGTGGGAATGAGGGATCACTTTGGTAACAAGGATAAGGAAATGAGAGAGCAAGGGAGAAGAAGGGGAGGGGAGGGGTATGTTTTGTTTCTAAACTTCTTCCTGGAGGTCTGGTTAAGAAAAAAAGGAGAAGGAGGAGAAAAAGAAGAAGAAAGAATTGCAGTCTGATGCTGTAGCTCAGGGCACAGTGCTTGCCTAGTAAGCCAAGGTCCTGGTTCCATCCCCAGTAAGACCAGCAAACAAACAAACAAACAAACAAAAACAAACTACTACCTGACCAAGGACGAGGCCCAGCAAATGCCAAGAAAGTGGCGTTCAGAAATGAAAAACCATAGAGTTAAAAAAAAAAAGAAACAAAACAACAACAAAAATAAAACAAAACATGGAAATGCCCCCTTATACCAGTGGTTCTCAACTTGTGGATGGGGACCACTTTAGTTAGGCTGAAGTGACCCTTTCACAGGGGCCACTTATCAGATATCCACATTATGATTCATAACAGTAGCAAAATTACAGTTATGAAGTAGCAATGGAATGATTTTGTGGTGGTGGGGTCATTACAACATGAGGAACTGTATTAAAGGGTCACAGCATCAGGAAGGTTGAGAGGCACTGATCTACACAGACACACACAGAAATGTCACAGACACACACAGACATCACAGATACTACAGACACAGATACCACACAGCACACGCACACGCACACTCACGCTTGCCACTGTGTATGTGAGGGTCAGAGAATAACTTTCATAAACCATGTAGGTCCCAGGGACCACACGTAACTTCTCAGGTTTGGCATCAGGTGCCTTTACTTGCTGAGCCACCTTGCCAGTCCCAATACTTATTAAGAGACAGTATGGAGGCCTGGAGAACACAGACTGAACCAGGCCACGGGGATTCAAAGTATAACGCTGACCGTTCTGCTCTGTGAATTTAGGCCATGCTTCTAAACCTCCTCTGCCTCTGTGTTCCATCTGTAAAATGGAGCAATAATCACTTTGCAGAACCTGTTCTGGGTGTTAGATGATCTAAAATATGCTTTAGAACATGGATTGAGAGTAAGAACAAAAAAAGTTAGTCCTAGGGACTGACCTTGGGGCCTCCTACATTAGGCAAGCACTCTGCCATTGAGTTATATCCCTGGCTCTCTTTTTTGTTTTTTATTTTGAGACAAGGCCTTGCTAAATTGCCCAGGCTAGCCTGGGAGGCTGACTATGTGGCCCAGGTAGCCCTTGAACTGCAACCCTGTCAATCTTCTGTATAGAGAGAATGCCAGGCCTGTGTCACCAGGCTGGCCCGATGGATGATGGGAGCTCCCAGCAGTGGAACGCACTATATTATCAAATCAAACATTTAAATGTTCCCTAATGGAAAGACTGTTTCACACCCATATTTTGGAAAATATAGTATGTATTGGTGTGTCCTAACTCATGTAGCCTTGAATGTCACTTGCTTCCCCTGCTTGTAGACACTCATCAAGAGAAATGAAGACGAAACAGCAGGGAAGTGCAAGCTTTCTTTCCCTGTTGATGATCACTCTGACCCATCTGTACCTATTGTGCATCAATGTAGACATTTCGGGACTTTATCATTCATTGTGCCTCCTGAGGAAAACAAGATACAGGAAAAGGCATTTGCTCTTTTCCCCTTTGGTGGCCGAGCCACCGGTTTTTTGCTTTTGCTTTGCCTTGCGCTCCTGTGTGCAGGGCTGCCCTTTTGGGCATCTCCGCCCCTCTGGGCTGAAGTGCTCCACCCTTGCACATGCATGCCTTACCGGAGTTGGGGTACTTCACTACGGTGGGCAGGTACTGCCTCTTGTTTATGTCCACAGGCACGAAGGCCGTGTATTTGCTGATCACATTGCAGGCCTTACTGGTGTGCACAGCATTCACCTGGTATCGGTGATTAGACCCTGAGGAAGCAAGAGTGAGGGTCACTGTTTGGGATCAGGAAGTATTACTTGGAGACTCTAGAAGCTAAAAGGAGAGCTTGCCTAGCAGGTTTCATCTTTGGGATCATATATAGGTCTTGAAATCAAGGGCTTGTGAAAGTACTAATTAAAGGCATTCAGACAAAAACAAACAAATAAAAAACCTCACATCATTTCACAAAGATAAAGGATATCTTAATGTAAAAAAAATTAAGTCATCATCTTAGAATAAAAGATAGCTAATTTTAAATAACTTGCATTATTTAAAAGGTATTCTGTGTTGTCTGTATTTTATATTTGAATTTTATGGATGACTAATGGGAACCTTGTTATAGGACTTTGTGGGTTCCTGGACTACTACGATGTGGCTGGGAAGATGGCTCCACAGGTAAGAATGCTTGCTAAGAAAGAAGTTTGTGTCCCTAGCATACAACTGAAAAGCTAGGTATGAGCATGGCCACCTGTGACCCGGTGCTGGGGATGCAGGGATGGGGAGGCAGGACCACCTCAGGTTTAGTGAGAGACTCTTATCTAAAGGGAATAAGGTAGAAAGTGATAGAGCGAGTAACACACCCAGCATCCTCTTTGGGCCTCTGTATATATCTATCCAGCCCCTCTACTCCCACCCCTAACCAAATAGAGAGAGAGAGAGAGAGAGAGAGAGAGAGAGACAGAGAGAGACAGAGTGACAGAGAGAGAGAGAGATTGAAAACCAGGGAACAAGTCCATGTAGGGTCACATAGCAAGTTAATAAGGATCTGAGACTAGGATTTGGGATGACCTGCCCTGGAAGCTCAGGTCCTTTCTATCAAATAGTGAGCCCTCTTTATGGCTTGTTGCCTTCTGAGAGCTGTTCAGAAAGCCAGGGAAATGAGGGGCGGAGGAGAATTTATGGGAAGAAAAGAGTATCACGCATTACCCCGAAATACAAATGAAACATAAGACACATAGTATGTAAATGAAGAGTAAACTTAGAACAAAGGAATCATGTAACTCTTATTGGCCCTTATCTCTGTTCTCCAAGCCTGTTTCATCCAGCTCTCAATAGTCACATTCTGGGGAAAGGCTGCCCTAGTTCCTGAACTAAATTAGCTCTCAAATCATCCCTTTTACACATGGCTTGGACTCATGTGTTTCTGAGCAGCACTTAATTAATTATCTGTGTAATTGTTTGATTAATGCTGGCCTCTGTTAGCCAGTGCCAGGTGCTCCTGGGAAAGGATGGGCTTGCTTTGTTCTATGCCAGCCAAACTTCCGAGGCATCTACAGGGCCAAATACCTAGCCTGCCCCCCCCCCAGCTGCCTCCCCCGATGACTTTCAGAATGTCAATGGGCTGATGAGAAAGCACAGGAGCTCAGCTGGGTCTAGGGACCCTGTAGGAAAGCTTCTGTCTCGGAGGAGCCCCTATAACTCTGCAGAACTAGGCATTGGGCACTGCAGAGAAGTGCAGGGTGTGAGGGAGTATGGGGTGAGGGAGTGTAGGAGTAGAGGAGGCAGGAAAAGAGGAGGGTGTGTCACTAGGAGAGTGGGAGAGATGGAGGAGGCCAGGGCTGAGGAAGGCAGGGCACCTCAGGTTGAGGATGGAGCCACTAATGCCATTAAAAGTCAGGGAGATGTGTGGTGGAATGGAGGCCCTTGGAAACATCGAGTGGTAGGCAGAAAGCCTTGGCCACCCAAGGGTGTGCGAAGGTGGTAAGTGCTGGAGGCAGGAGGGGAAGAATTAATATTAGAGCCTTGAGCAGAATAGGGAACCCTCCTCTCTGCTTCTAAGACTGAGCAGGGCATGGGTGGGGCTTCCATGAAGAATGGTGGATCTAAGAGGCGGGCAGAGCGCTGTGCCCAGGAGGGCAGACTTCCAGGTTGTGGGAGGGGCTTTTATGAAGGGCAGGGACGAATGATTTTTTTTTGAGGGGGGGTGTCATTGGAAGGTACCGTGAAGAGGTTTGGGCATACACAGGGCAGTGGGCAGGGCACTGGAAGGCTAGAGGGAGGATCATATGGTATGGGCAAGGCTTTGGTGAAAGATGGGGTGGGCATTCAGGCAAGGGGGGGCATTGGGTAGAGCTGGTTGGTTAGGCAGCTAACCTAGGCAAATGGTTGGGTTGCTGGGACCCTCAGAACAAAGGCTTTGAGGGCTTTGGGGTGTGGGCAGTGGGTGGGGCACTAGGCTGCTAGGGGGCGGGACTTCGGGTGTGGGCAGAGCTTTGGGAAGGGATGGGGCGGGCCTTGGACCTAGAGAGGGACACAGTGCTGCTAAAGGACTGGCTTCTGGTAGGGAATACCACCCCCTCCACAATCCTGGGCACTCACCCAACTCGATCTCATCCTCACGCTCTGCCAGCTGCTCGAAGTCGCGGATGATGGCGCGTGCTGCCAGGTGGTGGAAGGTCTCGCTCCACATGTCTGCATCCTGCTCATCACCCCTCTGCAGGGCTGGTGGTTCCAGCTCAAAGCTCACCTCCCACTGCAGATGCTGGTTGTTGCACAGGCCTTTCACCAGGGCCTTGCCCAGCACAGGGCCTGGGGTGGCAGGCCTGCAGGGACTGACTTGCTCCTCTGACTCAGCCATGGGCTCCCAGTCTGAGGATGTCTCCCTCTCAAAGGTGGAGGGGTGATGGGGTGGCTCTGTGGATGGAAGGGCAAGAGGGCTGAACCTGAGGCCAGAGCCAGGGAGCCACCCACAAAGGACATCGCTCCCCTACTCCGTCGTGTCCCGTGCGCCCCCCCCCTTAGTAGAAGACAACTTCCTATTGGGCTATTGCAGCATAGACTGGGCTAGTCCCAGAGAGGTATCTCAGAGCAAGAGTGTCATCTGAAATTGGACCACAGCCTTCCTATCTCCTCAGACCTTGGACCTTGACTTACCTAGGTCCTCAGAGCTTCGGCTGTCAGGGACAGACTTAGGGCTGGAACCAGGATCCAGTTCCTTCATAGGGCTCCAGGAATGAGGCTCCGGGCCAGAGAACAGCATGGGTTGACAGCCTTGAGGCAGAAGGGAGGGCCTTCGGGCCCCTGGGCCGTGGATTCTGGGGCCCTGGCTCATGTCTTGGCCACTGTTGAGTAAGGGCTAAGGAGGAAAGCAGAGAGCAGGGGAAGGGAGGAAGGAGGGATGCAGTGGAGGAGGGGGGTGAGAGGAGGAGGCAAGAGAAATAGGAAGGGAAGCAGATGGAGAGAGAGGTGCATGAGGAGGAGGAAGGGGGGTGGGAAGGAAGGGAAAGGGGGAAGAGGAAGAGGAGGAAGGAAGATGGGAAGGAAGGAAAAGGGGGAGGAGGAAGAGGAGGAAGGGGGATGGGAAGGAAGGGAAAGGGGGATGAGGAAGAGGAGGAAGGGGATGAGGAAGAGGAGGAAGGGGGATGGGAAGGAAGGGAAAGGGGGATGAGGAAGAGGAGGAAGGGGGATGGGAAGGAAGGGAAAGGGGAGGAGGAGGAAGAGGAGGAAGGGGGATGAGGAAGAGGAGGAAGGGGGATGAGGAAGAGGAGGAAGGAGGATGGGAAGGAGGTGGTGAAAAGGGGAAGAGAAGGAGAAGAACGAGAAGAGAGGATGGAGAGGAGGAAGGGGGATGTGGAGGAGAGGGAGGACAAGAAGGAGGGAGAGGAGGGAGGGATGAGAAGAGGGGAAGAAAGAAGAGAAATGGAGGAGGTGAAGCCCATTGGCTGGTGGCTAGCCTCATTTTTCTGCCCCCCCCCCCAACGCTGCCCACTGCTCTCCTCTTTCTGCTCTGTAGTTCTTCCCAGGGTAATCCCCTCAGGGACCCAGGGACCCAGTCTCCACCACCCATGAGAAACAGAAACCAGAAAACTTTCAGGCCACGGGTCAGCTCCAAGGCGCAGAGAACCATGTGCCGTGGAGAATTCCAAAGCCACTTTCATTTTTGGCATAGAGCTTAAAACCTTTTTTATGTATAGTTAAAATTACCAACCCTTTCCCTTATGTCTTCACCATATGTTGTGCTTGAAAGGTCTTTCCTACCCCCACCTCTCAAAAATCTTCTACAAGTTTTGTTATTTTTGTTTGTGTGTTCTGAGTATTTGATTCATATGCAATTTATTTTCCTGTGAGGCGATGGGAACCAGATTTTACTTTGGAACTCGCTATATAGACCGAGCTGGCTTCAAACTCCAAATGGTGCAGATCTCAGCACTGTTTGCTGAATACAGTGGGCTCTCTGTGGTTCGTCAATTCGCTACACTATCCTTACAAAGCGTGCATGTGTGTTTGGTGATGTTTATTGGCTTTTCAGTCTGTTTTGATGATTTCATCTATCTGTTCTTGGGCTTGGTATAAACAAGCATCTGAAAGCCAAGGGGTAGATGGGAAATACCCTTGTACCATGTAGGATGGAGTTTTTTTTTTTTTTTTTTTTTTTTTTTTTAGAAAACACTCTTGGTATTGCTTGGGTTTCCTGGGAATTCAGGATCCTTTAAGTCCCACCCAACCACTGAATTATGTAAAAACATGTGTTTGTTAAAAGTGCATTTTAGTGCCACTGAGCATGTGTGGTCAGAGGACACACGTGAAAGGAGTTCTTCTGCTAAGTGGGACTCAGGAATCCACGAGGGAACAGCAGGCTAGGCTCACATGACCCCACTGAACGGCAGCCCAGTGCCAAGTGACTTTAGCCTTGGACCAGGGCTGCCCTGATTTGCATGACAGAGATGGTACATCCAGGGTGACTCATGCTAAGATCCCAGGAGCATTAATCAGCCAATCCAGACTGCTCTCCTCCTCATGACAAGCCCAGAAGCTACTCACAAAGAAACTTCTTCCAAACACAGGAAGACACCCCTTGCTCTTGCCTCATGTGACATTGCCCTAAGGGGAAGGTGGCATCGTACCTACTGCCCAGCCCATTTGTCCTCTTCTAGTGTGCTCAATAAACAATTATTCTTTTTCTGGTCTTAAACAGAAAAGAAAAAAAATATCTTCCATGTAATTGGAGAGAAAAGACAAATTAGAATAGTGGGGGTGTTCATCCACAAGTGTTTTGTATCTAACGTATCAATAAGCTAAGTGGAAATGTTCAGATTCATGGCAGCTAAGCTAAGTCACGGTTTTCCACATTAGAGATGGGTAAATATCTGGATGTTTGGTCTCAGTGTGTCAGGGTCTCTTATGGATGGTAAAGGGGAATGACAGTGGCACAAACTGGGACAACGGGTTGTCTATCACCAATTGAAATCCACGAGCTACCTGAGACAATGATTTTACTCTTACAAATTCAACCCTATGGGAGCCATATGGGTACAAGGGTCTATGTGCAAGGCACGTGTATTGGTTGCAGTATTGATGTCCTGAGTACAGTTCAGGTAACTAGCTGGGTGGGGTGGCAATGCCTTTAATCCTAGCACTTAGGTGGCAGGGGAACAGATCTCTGTGAATTTGAAGCCAGCTTGGTCTATATAGCAAGTTCCATGTTGGCCAGGGCTACAGTATGGTAGATCTATACAATGGAGTATCTCACAATACTGAATAAAAGGTTTTATGTTGTTGTTTTTTTTCCCACAGTGCTGTGAGAAGGTAGTTGAGAAAAATTACCTTAAATATTAAACTATGACAGATCTGTATCTCAATGACAATGAAGAGTAAACTTTGTGATCGTCAGCCTCAGAGAACTGTTGTTCATCAGAAAGAGTGGTTTTCCTGTATGTAAGCATGAATTCAGATGCCATTAAGAAGGCCAGTGAGATGTCTCGGTTGGTAAAGGTACTTGCCACCAACCCTGACATCCAGAGCTTGATCCCTTGGACCCACACTGTGGAAGGAGATCTGACTCCCAGGAATTGTCCTCTAACCTCCACAAGGGTTCAGAAGCATGCACACCCACTTGCCCACCCAAACGTGTACACAGCGGAGACAAATGTGATAAAAATTTATTTTAAAAAAGCATCAAGACACTATGTTGGAGGATAATTTGCATAAGCAGATATTAAAATATGCATGTGTTCTGTGTATACGTGTATGTGCATGGTATTTCTAGAAAGACATACTCGGAACCAAGTGCGCGTTGGTGTAGGGGAAGGAGACTTTCTTTGTACTTTATACCTAACTGAACTGTTTGAAAGATTTAATTCCAAATGTTGAGTAGTATGTATTACTTTTGTGATGGGAGAGGATTAAGCTAAAATGAATTTCCAGTTTCTGAGAACACGTACATGATCTGGCAGGAGAATGAGATGAGAAGACAAAATCACTTATCAGGTGTAATGTAATTTGGGGGGATATCCGTAAGCACTGGGGGGGGGTCTCTCCACACTATTAAGTATGTATTAGTAAGTATTGAGGTGTGCCTCCCATAGAAGGGGTATCTTCCTGTCTCCAGGTCAAGGACCTATAGTTCAAGGCATGAAAGAAAGGGATACTGGACACTTTTAGGGTAGTTCTCGGGGAGCAGGTGCCCAGTCGCAACTCCCTGACCCCTCCACTGACCTTACCGCCACCCACACTGGGTCAGAGAGAAATGGACTCTGCTACAGTTTCCATGGTAACAGAGGAGGCATTTACAAGCTAGCTTTTAGATTCTCCCAGCCAGAGTCTCTGGGGCAATCTACATACATACAGTGGAGTGCTGGTGAAATACAGGAGGAGAAAGCCAGGTAGGAGGGGAAAGAGATTTGAAAGATGGGACAAAGGAAGGTAGCTAGTTGCCTGGAGCACACAATGACTAGAGCTGCCATTGAAGAACACCGACTACAGCCAGACACGGGGCCAGGGCTGCATCTTGAATCCACTAAAGCCTGGAAGCCTTCTCCACCTGGAGTTTACTCTCACTCCACATCTGCTGGTGGATGGCGGATTCACCCATCCGCATACATTCTCCCCGTCTTGTAGATGAGGCGGTGGGGTTCAGAGGGGTTCAGAAATGCATGAGAAGAGTGCCTGGCTCCAAGACTAACCAACATATACCAAGGACATTGAGAGTCCCTGGAGAAGCACAGAGGAGAGGCCCCAGGGGCCAGGTGGTGTGTGGGCCATCATATGTGGAGATTGGGTGAGGATGTGGCGGGGTAGTGGGAAGGCACACTGGAGATGGTGGGATGCTGCTTTGACCCACATGCTTAGGACACATCTACATGGTTTCTGTCCTGAAGAAAATGATTAAGTAAGTGGTTTAGCACAGTGGTGTCAACTGGGTGGTTTTATCCCGCTGACCCTGGAGACATTCTGTCATGCCTAGGACCAATCTCTATGGCAGAGCCTTGACAACAGCAATGCTGAGGGGGTTGAGGGCTGACCTAACAGAACACTGATGACCTTTTCTGTGGTGGCTCTGACTCCTATTTCCTTTGCCTTTGGTCCAGTCATGGAAGGACCAGCAGTGTGATAGAAGGAAAGCAAAGATCCCGAGGGTCAGGGCTTCCTGGGTCAAATCCACAGGCTGACCATGTGGTTCTGGTTAAGCCTGCTTACTTCTCTGACCTTCGGTTGCCACATCTGTACCAAGTGAGGGCAGATGGTCTCCAAACTCTCTCCTCTCCCAGGTACCAAAAAACCTAATGACAAGAGTCTATATGGCTGCCCTGTGCCAATGGGGAAGTGCTGTATACAGGAGCTGACTGTATACTGACTAGTGGGTGTCATGATTAGGAAGGCATTGGGAGTTGGCAGACGAAGGTCCAGCTAAGGATGGAGGGGTGACTTACTAAGCCAAGGATGACCTGTTTGAGAGGTCATCAATAAATATGCTTCAAATGAAAACTAACATCACAGCTTGGCATTAGCTGGATCTGGACTTTGATTTCTACCTGCTACTCAATGTTCTTGTGCAATAAGCACCCATCTTTGTTGTTATGTGTGAGCCATAGCCAACCCAAGTTCCTCCCATCCCCTCCCACCCTACTCTGCCTAGGTACCTGCAGGTCAATCTGCCAACGCTGGCTCTCTGAGCTGCTCTCATTGGCAAGGTCTTGCTCCTTGGCTTTTCGCAGTGGGAGTCTCTTGGCAGTCCCAGTAGGGTCACTGGCTGTGGTGGCTCTTGGGCAGGCCTTTTGGCTGGAGATCTGGTTGGTGCTGTATGCCCTCCGTCTCCTAGAGACATTCAGACCTGGGCAAGGGTAATAAGAGAGGAGTTATCAGGGTGGAGGTAGTAGGGAAAGAAAGGGGCTAACATGCCATTGTCTGGCTTTGAAATGTCTTAAATTTCCATTTTCTTACAGAAATATGTGCGTGTGTTTCCCTTAGCATCCAAAGCCTTTCTAGGTCTATCTTTCCACAACTGTCCTTGTGTAATCTTTCTCAATTGTTTTCCATTCTACTCATTTTAAATGGGTTCTGTGGATCCAAACTCTGGCCCTCTTGCTGGTATAGTGAGTGCTTGGCTCACTGAGCCTTTTCCCCAGCCCCAATCTTACAAGTTTTGCTTTTATTTGCATTTAATTCATGTTGAACTTATTCACCACTATGGGATGCTTCATGCACGTGCCTGTCATCTTTGTGCTAATCTCCTCTATATCATTCTAGTTTTAGTATATGTGCCACTGAGGTGAGCAGCCCATTGTATTCTTTTGACAGAATCTCTCACTGACTGGAGCTCACTGATAAGCTAGATTTGCCAGCATGCCCCTGGATCCTCCAGTCTCCATCTCCCAACACTGGGCTTTAGCTAGGAATCCACACTCACGCTTTCCCAATGAGCACCTCCCCAGTGCCCTGTGGTCCCCTTTTAGAGATGCTGTGTGGTCAGTGGAAACTGGAATAGATGAGTAGCCAATGACCAGTGCTTTCTATATGCCATGCCTCCATGGCATTGCCCGAGTGCTTCTGCTAGCAGGCACTTCCTCTCCCTTCCCACAGCTAAGAATCAGTCCTTAGTTGTCTATGATCTTGGGCAGAAATGCTTTCCTCTCTCTGTGGGGACAGTTGTGGTCTCTGTTCCTCTGCTTTATCAGAGTTAAGGTCACTTCTGCCTTTGTGTCTAAAGGGGGTATCTTGGAGGGCAGGTGCCAGGTGGGAGCCGCCCTATTGCCCCCACTATTCTCCTTGTCAAATAATCACTAAATGCTCTTTGAAAATGGTTTTAACTCAACAGAGGCACATAGGTCTAGGTTGACCCCCTCTTTAGCATCCAAAGCTTAGTCAGTTGTTGAGAGTCTGTAGACTCTGTCTCCTTATTTATACCATGGCTATCATCACATCCACACCCACTGCTGCTAACTGATCTGTACAGTGGATATCATCCTGCCCAACCCCAGCTGCTAACTGGTCCCAGAGATAATTTTTATCAAATGGGTAACACATAGTAAATGCTCAGCGTAAGGTAGCAATCATTAAGGCTTCCATGGAAAACGGAACAGAACAGAAAGCAGAGGACCAACCACGATGGGTGGGGGAGTCTCCATTGCATGGTTGGGCATCTTTGGCCTGCTCCGGGTTGAAGATTTTGGCACAGTTTGCACTGTCTGGGCCAAGTCCCTCATCCTGAGAGTGGTAAAAAACGGAGCTGCTGGACTCCTGAGCGTGCAGCATGCCGTACTTTCGCCTTTTGTCCTAGACACAGGAGAGGGAGGGAGGGCGAGAGTGAAGTTAGACTCCGCAAGGACTTCCGTGGGCAGCAAAGGGTGTGTGGTCAGGCTTGGGTAGGAGTTCACCTCTGAGGACCTAGAAAAATAAGGAAGGAGTGCTTGCTTGCTTGTTTGGAGCTGGTTGAACATAGTGCTGGATGTTGTGGCTCACATCTGTGATCCTAGAACTCAGGAACTATGGTACAAGGCTAGCCTGAGCTACATGGTGAGTTCCAGGCCAGCCTGGGCTACAAAGTACAATTCTGTCTCAACAACACAACATAAAAACAAAAATGAGAGAGAGAGAATAAGAAAAGAATTTATTCTTATATTATGGTGATAGTTAAAATCATTGACCTTGTCCACTGAAAAATTTTTAAAAATGTAATTCTAAACTTCATTCTTGTCTCCTAACAGATGAACTATGCATCTTTTCATCCTGCTCTCCATCACACACACACACACACACACTCTCTCTCTCTCTCTCCCTCTCTCTCTTTCTCTCTCTCTCTCTCTCTCACACACACACACAGCACAATTTTGAAAGTCATGCTTTATAAAAACCAGACCGAACACATTTATCAGTATCTTGAATTTTGTAGTTAAACATTCTTCCTGCTAACCATTGTCTTTAACACTCAGCTGTATAACATTCCACTGCCTTTCAATGTGAAGCATTTGGAAGCATTTGCTTCATGGCTGTTTGTCTTTACCACCATATGATCTGACGTCATAACTCTATTACATTGCTGTTATGCCTCTGGGGCAGCACCTAGGAGTGACGTTTCTGGACTGCACGTATTTCTAATTTCACAAGCTATTTCTAGATTGCCTTCCAGGAGGGCAATGTCCAGTCACACTTCCATCAACAGCATATGAAGGTGCTGTTTACCCAACATCTGCCAATAATAGGCAACAACATGGCCAGCCTCATGGGTGAAGAAAACAGAACTTTGAAAAATGATGTGTGCTTGTCTTTGTATGTTTGTATCTGTTCATATACATGAGAATGCACATGCGTGGGTCTGTGTGTGGAAGCCAGAGGCCAACGTTGGATGTCATCCTCAGCATCACTCATTGCTGCCTACCTCCTTGAGACAGGATCTTGGTGTCCTAGAGTTTGTCATTAGACTCAAGCCCTGGGGATGGGTCCTCCTGTCCCCACCTTCCCAGCTCTAGGATGACAAGCAGCCACAATGCTTCCTGAATATGTGGGTTCTGGGGAGAAATTCGCTTCCTCACACCCGTGAGGCTGAGCAGGAACTTTGCCTTGCGTCAGGAATTTCACCAGCCCAAGAGAATGAATGGATGACTTTGTTGGGTTCCTCTGTGGAATGTGTATTCATAATCTTTCAGGGCTCCATGTATAATGAGAATTAAATACAGCATGGACCATGGGGGGGGGGACGGACAGTATTTTGTTTAGAATTTTCTATGCATAGTTGAATAACCTACCTTTCATTACACATTTATGTTAAACATTAAAAATTCTGGGCATTTCATATAGTATTCCAATTATTCTTAGAAACACATTCCATACATGGCCTGTATCCCAGTACAAAAACATTTCAATAGACTGAACGGAGGCTTTCTAGTCTAGTCAGTCAGGTGAACCCTAGGCAGCTGGACATGTTCCTCTCTGCTCCTTTGGCCTTATCTAGGAGCTCAGCCATGCTATTCTCCTTCATGGCTTCCCTCTTTCATTTTCATTATTATTTTTAAAATACATGTCTGCTATACAAGCGAGTAAGCATGTATATTCCTGTGTGTGTGGGTGCACATGTGCACACATGCACGTAAAGGCCAGAAGATAAGTGCATGCCACTGTACCTAGCATTTCTACACAGGGGATTGAACTCAGGTCCTCTTGCTAGCACAGGAAGCACTCTACTGACTGAGCCACACCCCCAGCTCTTAATGTACTAAGTTCATTTTATACTTAGCCACTTTAGGCATTGAGTTTGCAATTCCTTAAAAACCAACCATGTTGAGTAATGGGAGAGGGGCGAGGAGGCAGCTCCTCAATCTCCCACACATCTGGGGTACTCACAGATCTGGAATTGGAAATGTACAAGGAGGCATCGCACACAATGCCGTATCCCATCAGGCGTTCCCCAGGGAATAGGGAGCTGGTGCTGACAGGTGAGATCAGGACCTCTGTGGTCTCAGGGAAGACCCACTCCACGGTCACGTCACTCAGCATTGGGGCCATGGCCTTCTTCAAGGATTTGATCATCTGTTGGGGAAGGTCAGACAGAGTACATGAGGTGTGAGGAGGATGTGGGGAGATGAGGAGACAAAAAGATGGAGAGAATGTGAGCTTGAGGGGAGGAAGGCACAACAGGCTTGGGGTAGCTGGTCTAGCAGTGGACGAACCTCTGAACTCCTTAGACTCTTGGAAGCTTAGCATTTTGAAAAGGAGATCAAAGTGTGGCTGTCATTAGCTCAATGGTCCACTGCAGAGCTCATATTTGGGGTGACATCTCAACCTCACCCTCTGGCCTCTCTGGGCTGCTGATGCTGCAGGATTGGGAGATACTGGAGGCCCTTCTGTGTACCTTTGGTTGTAGCCGCTCCCCCTCCGTCAGGAACTCCGCACTGCCCTTGGATACAGACGCCAGCCCTTTGACCAGTCGGTAGCAGACACTGGGTCCAATTCCAAAACTATAACACCTGGAGGACAGAAACGGGGGGGGGGGGGTAAGTCTGTATCATTGTACCCAGTGGGGTAAGAGACAGAGTATGGTCCAGCAGAGGCAGCTTAAAGATGACCTTGTCTTTAGTCAAAGCCTGGGGAAGAGGAAGAGCTATTGTGGGGACACACACACACACACACACACACACACACACACACACACACTACAATCAACTCCCAGTCAGTACTGACAGCAGTATCTCCTTAAGCTGCACTTGGACTTGCATGCTGAGCTGTGGACAGCTCACCCCTCCTCATCTTATGAGAGAGAAAAAGCAGCAAACGTGGAAAGCATCGCTCAGCAACCCAGAAACAAGGCATTCTGGGAAATGTAGGTGCTATCTTTTCCCTCTGACATTGCACATTTTGTTCTGGTTTGGGTTCCCCCAACCACAGGCAGCTTGGGGTAACCTGCATGCTGGGCTAACCTGGTAGAAGAGGCGTGATTCCTCACCAGCTCCAGAACCTTCCCTGTGTTGCTCACAGCCCCATCTGTGATCAGGAAGAGGAGCCTTGGGTGACCCTGGTGCACTGGCTGCCGGAGGATCCACTTGAGAGGAGAGAGGATGTTGGTGCTACCCATGTCAGCTTGTATTCTTTGGATGCAGTCACATGCCATGGCCAAGTTCTCCTGCAAGGAAGACAACAGCAGGGCAGACAGGTCCTAGGTTCACCACGTGGCATGGAGTCTCTAAGTGGCCCCCTGAGGGTGAACTCTGTTCTCTGGCTCTTAGTTCAGCCACACCCCTGCTCACCCATGGGGAACATAGTCAGCCACTAATGTAATTCATCCCCTGTCAATGTCTAAAATGTCACCATTTGCAGAATAATGACAATACTGTCCTTCCTAGACTCTTTTTTAGAAATATGAGCACCCCCTGAAAAATGTGTAATTTTGAACTCACCTCCTCAGCACAAACAAAGCTCCTTGCCTGGTAAGGGAAGCAGGTGACATGGAGGGAAGGTCACAGTACTGGGCATCCTCAGACATGAACACTGAATCCGACTCTGGCACTGACTCCCACAGTGCTTTGAGAAGATGCTTCCTTCCCCAGCTCTGACTTCAGATTCCCCACCTCCTGGACCAGCCTTGTGGGGACTGGCTTGCCAAGTACTACTGGCATCAGGTAGATGGTTTAGCAGTAGGAGTAGAGTCTCTGTGGATACCATCTCCTGTCCCTGTCTCTGGAAGAGTATCTTTCTGTATCTATGTTTGGAGGGACTTAGAAGGAATGGCCAATACTGAGGCTGGGGTGTAGTTCTGTTGGTAGTGTGCTCACCTAGCATACAGGCAAGCTCCGAGTCCTGCTCCCAACTCCACATAGACAAGGTGTGGTGGGACATGCCTGTAACCCACTCCAAAAGTAGGGGCAGGATGACCGGTATATCAAGATCCATCAAGATCTATATATATAACTATATATAGTGAGTTGGAATCAGCCTAGACTATGCAAAACCCTGTTTTTAAAAAGAATAGCAGCAACGGTCAATACTGTCAATACTAAGACTTATGATAGATATGTGGCTTTGAAATTCATCCCCAGGGGACAGGCAAAGATGCATGGGAAATCTATAAGCAAAAATGACTAAGTAGAAAAAAGTGGGGGGGGGGCTATGAAAAGGCTAGCTTCTAGGCTTCATAAATAAACCAAGGCTGTCTGTGTCGTGGGCCAGGCAGTCATTAACATGATGTCACAGATGGAAATTTCCTGGCATGACAATATGTTCATGATAGGCTAGGAAAGTAGGTCGTGTCACAGTATGGAAGACCTCGTCCCTGTCTTGAAAATGTGTGTAAATTCACAGAAGGTGACCTGGAAATAGCACTTCTTTATCCTATTGTTTTTGTTTTTGTCTGATGGATGTCATCACAGGCGATTTAAATGTTTTTGTTTTCTAGATTTTTGATTATCTAGATCTAAAAACTAGCAACCAACAGGTATTCGTATTCTTGCTTGTTGAGACAGGGTGTTATGCAGCCCAGGCTAGCCTCAAACTCATGATGTAGCTGAGGCTGACCTTGAACTCCTGATCCTCCTACTTCCACTTTCCCAGTGCTGGGATCACAGACATGTGCCACCACCCCTGGCTCAACGTGCATTTTGCTTTTATGTTAAAAAAAAAAAAATCTATCCATCCACCCTTTACTTTTAGTAGTAAGTAGCCAATGCTGTCCCTCCCCTTCCTCCTTCCTCACACGCCTCCTCTTTCCCCCTCCTCTCAGCTCTGGGTAGGATGCTCCAGAGTTGGTGCTGGGGTCAGAGTCATTTTGTTCCAAATAGCACCTAAGCCTTAGACTTGTAAGGACCCCTGCAGCCACTTGGCCATTTAATTGTTCTTCTGTCTGTCACCATTCATTTCTGTAGCTCAGCCTTGGATGCACCCATGGTCTTCAAGAGACAGAGGTTGTGGTGAATGGCAGGCCATGGGTGTGATAGATGTGTCCCCTGTCCTCTGTCCCTACTCTCCGTGCCCATGTCCTCACAGACTTTATTGTAATGGGAAGAGGGTGTCTGAAGGCATCAGCAAACATGGCTGCTGGCCCAGCTGTGGTCTGAGCTCTCCCTGGGTAGGCAGCCCCTGAGGTTGTCCCCAGCATGACCTCTTTGCTGTTCCCTTCCTCCTCCTCTGCTCACCACTACCCATTCCCCACACAGGACAAGACTTTTCCGCTCCTTACCTCATTGTAGATCTGACTGGAAGTAAAGATTGTCTTAAATGTGGATCCAAAACCAATGATATTGAAGAGACAGGCCGGCTTGAGGCTCTTAAGGGCCACCAACATGGCCTCCTGCCAGGCAAAAAAAGGATCCTCAGGACTCAGACAGGGACTACTGCCACTCTGTCATCACACATCAGTGCTGCCATTTCCAGCATGGAGTCATCTCCACAGGGACCTGTCACCCTATTTGCACCCAGCACTCTTTCTCTATGTATCGTAAAAATCTGTCGTTCTTGACCGGAGGCTGACCCATCAAAGCTATCAGCATATGACTCCTCATCCACATAGCAGGCCTGACTCATCAAAACCACTCTGCAGTGGCCTCGGAGTTCCTTGTCACCTCTTGCTGACTTTGAGAGGTCAGAGGAGCGGGGTCTGCCCATTCTCCTCTGCCAAAACAAACTTGACCTTGAGGGGAGGTCACATTGTTGATCCAATGGTGTTTGGCTCTCATCCAAGGCCCCTGCAACAGCATCACCCTGTCACTAACCAGTGACAGCTCCCCTAGGAGGTCTCCTGGCTAGCATTTGTTGGATGCAAACGATGCGTTTCAAGTGTGTCGCCTTGCTATTGAGCCCCAGCAGCAGGCCCACTGTTATCCCCACTCTACAGATGAGAAGATGGACACGCAGAGGGGGCACATGATTGGTTGAAAGCATCTAGTTAGTAAACAGTGCAGCCAGGATTCAATCATGCCTCTTGGCCTCCCGAGTATGAACATTAGAGATCCCTATCTTCTGTAGCTACACACCACCAGGAGATCTGGATAAAAGCGCTAAACAGAATCGTGTGGGGCTGGAGAGATTAAGAGTATTTTCTCTAAAAACACGAGGGCCCAAGTTCACATCCCCATTACCCAAATAATAAGCTGAGTGGGTGCCTGTAACCCTAGTATAGGTGGGTGGCGGCAGGAGGATCCTGACAACAGGCTGGCCAGCCAACCGAGATGAGAAGGTGGGCTTCGAGTTCAAGGAGAGACCTGTATTGAAGGCACAAGGTAGAGAATGATGGAGGAAAGGTAGCCAGGGCTCTGCTCTGCTTTCTACATGCATGAACTTGTATTCTCACATACATGCAACACACACACACATGCCAAAGGAAGGAGGAAAGAAAGACACACGCACACACACACACAAGGAAGGAAGGAAGGAAGGAAGGAAGACAGAGAGAGGGAAAATAGGTGAAACAATGATGCTGGGCGTGGTGGCACATGTCACTGGTCAGCCGGGGCTATGTAGGAACTTGTAGTCCAAACTGGGCTACATATCTCAACTCTACAGCAACACACAGAAAGGAAGCAAGCAAGGGAGGAAAGAGGTGATGGGGGGAGGGAAAAGCGACAGCGACGACCAGCTACTACTATATGCTACCACCGTGTTAAGCAATTTCAATTAACAATCACATTTATCTCCGTGGGTTTGAGGCCAGCCTGGTCTACAGAGGGAGTTCCAGGACAGCCGGGGCTACACAGAGAAACCCTGTCTCGAAAAACAAAAACACAGAAACCAAACAAAATCAAACAAATACAAACCAACTTTAGTCACTGTTGCAAGAATTAGAGCGCAGTGGGTCAGCGGCACACTTGAAATGGAGACCCCCACCTCCCCATTGTTCACTTGACTTTGGGTCCGCCTGAGCCTCAGTGTGGCCCAGAGAAATAATGAGTGGGTTATCCACCCAGTGAGTTCGGCTTCAGTACTAATGCCTCTACTTCGTAGAGAAGTGGGTGGAGGTTCAGGAGACCTGAGGCGTTGTTCTGGGTCTCAAAACTTGCCTGTGTGGCTTTGACTTTCACAAACCCAGCTCTAGGCCTGGCAGGATGGCACCTGCTGCCAATCCCTAGGACCCATACGGTGGAAGGAGAGAAATGAATCCCACAAGTTGTCCACTGGTATCCACACACACCCCGAAATGTTCACACAAAGGAAATGTAATAAAAAGAAAAAAATAATCCCCCAATACAGCTCTGAAGTCTTCATTTGTGTTGGCTATGCCTCAGCACAGAGGCAGAAATGAAAGATCTCCCCTTTACCCCCGTGTAGTGTATTTATGCTCCCCATTCCCCGGCTGCTCAGCATAGTTTCAGGGAACCAGTCTGTAATACTCTGGAATATGGAAGCCAACACTGCCAGCTGATTCCAGCAACTGCCACAACACACAACCTTCTAAGTGCCACAGCCATGTAGCCCTCTTCTGTCCCCCTCTGCAAACACATTAAATGCTTCCATTAATGTCCCCACTGCCTCCCTGCACTGCCTGTGTCAATACATTTTGTGTCTCTACGAAAGAAGTCAATATCTGCTGTTTTTCATTAGCCACTAATGCATATTCCTGCTGGCAGGGGACTCTGCTGATCCGTACAGATCATCTCGACTCACACCTATTAGAATTTTAAAGCCCTGCTTTTGGCAGCAAGTGGCTGAAGACTGAGACCAGCTGCCGGAAATTAAATTGCCTGAACTTTCCCCTTTGGCGTGGGCTGTTTGGATTTCTACTCCTTTCCTCCTAAGCCTCACTTTCCCTAAAACTTCTACCCAATGGACCATAATGAATGACTTAATATCTCCACCCCCCTTGGCAAGGCTTTCCCCGAGTAATTTCTGTGCCTTTTTCTGGAAGGGTCACGCTCAGCTGGGTGGATTGCATGGGCGTGGAGCCATTTGTGAAGAGATGACCTTGAGCCCAGAGAATGGAACTAGAAAAAAGCAAGGGGAGGCTCCACAGGGAGAGGGGACTGAAGGAAGGACCAGAGAAAGTCACTGTCAGAGATTTCTGAAGCGGTAAAGGTGGAGAGGGCTTCAGCTAATGAAGTGGATTCCTGCTCATAAACAATTTCATTTTTAATGGTAATAACTCCCTGGAGTGCTTGTGTGAGGACTCAGAGACAGTCCAGGCTTAGCAGGGGTGAGAGGGTGTTGGGGAAGGGTCAGTCGATTACTGATGACTTCCTGGGCTGAGGAGAAGGAACAAGAGGGCCACATGACATACATTTGCCCTGCCCGAATCAATCCTTTCTTCTCACTTCATAAAAAGGATGAATGAAGTCCACAACTGAGAATCTGTTTGTCCAAAGCCGCATAGCAATTGTGACAGAATCGATTCTAGACCCTGGGATTTCTCCTTTAACCATGCCATGAAGCAGAAATGACTTACTCAAATAAGAGAGCTTTGTAAAACCATGGCTCACCCCTTATAAGCAGTGTGTGAGAAATGGGCACAGATCTGGAAGGTTCAGGCCCCTCCACCAGCCCTGTGATACTCAGAAAAACATTTCACTCCTTAAGGATTCAGTTTCTTTGCCTCAGAAATGAAGGGGAGGGTATGAAATCCTTTCCAAATACTATTTTAGGTTTATAATGCTGGGACACTCTTAGGTAATCAAGGGAGTGTCTCAACACGGGTGTGGACCGGTATATGGAGCCCCCCTATCTGGAAGTACACTTCAGCACTCCAGATCTCGGACAGCTCCCCACTCTCCTCCAGAGTAGGAGGTCCGCTGCCAGCCTCACATCCATGTGTCAAGATGCTTCCAGAAGGCTCCTGGCTCTCATTTATGATGCTTCTGCCATTGTTTAAGACTAGGTGGGACTAAGAGGACTAGGAGATTGCTGGCCTCATGGAATCTACCTAAGTTCTCCTTGCTGAGTCTGTTGCTCTGGGGCAAGCTAACGGGGGAAAGGACGGAATCTCCAATGATAGGAGAGCCCTCTCTTTTCTGGTTCCCCCTCTTTCTTTCTCCTGAGCTACAGTTCATTCCTCAATCCAATAAGTAGAATGAGGGGTTTTATGTGGAAGTGCAGAGCTAGGCCACGTGAGGACAGTTGAGGATGCGACAGTCCTTTCCCTTAATGAGTTCATAACTCTAGATGGGAAGACAGACACCTGCAGAAGTCACAATAAAAAGCAACACTGGATAATTCCATAACAAGCTCAATGATTTCCTGTCAAGGAAGAGGGGCTTCGTGGTGGATGAGGAGGGCTCTGTCATTCTTATGCATCTATCTATCTATCTATCTATCTATCTATCTATCTATCTATCACCTATCTATCCGAATATCTATTTTTTGGAGCTTTCTAAGCAGGGAAACCAAGCCAAACTCCCAGGCCTTCTGACTGGCTATTAAGTCAGCATGTCACACTTGACTGTGAGTTCTGTGAGAGTATTGAACGTGTTGGCATTTTGAGTTTATATTCTCATAAGATGGCTACATGCAGGGCTTTGCCCACCATTAGTAATTAGGAAAAAGAAAATAATATTTTCATTTTAATGTATGTGTGTGCATATGCTCATGGAAACCGTATACAACTTTGGGTGCTGTTCTCAAGGTCTACCACTGAGACGGGACAGGCTTGCTAGGCTGACTGGCCAGTGAGCCTGGAAATATTTTTCAGGCATGAATTCTGGGAATCTAATTCAGGTCCTTCCAAGCACTTTACTGAGTTGACTACCTACCCAGAGAAAATCCAATATTTTCTATTGGGTTCTACTAATATATGCCAGGGACCATATCTAGTGACGATGATGCTGGATGGGGGTGGGGGTGGGGAACAGCCAGGCAGCCACTGGTTTGCTCACAGATTATGTGAGTTGTGTGATCTTGGGTAGGTGACTACAACTCTCAAGAACCATGCGCTCATGTGGACACAGTGACATCAGGATCAACCTCTTAGGATAATTGGACTAAACACCAAGACACACTCTGAGGGGCTAACCCGGTATCCCATACATCCCAGGCTCCTAGCAATGTACACGACCCCCCCCCCCGTGTGCTCCTTCCCAGTCAGGACCTGGGGGAGTGCTTAATCCAGTGCAGGCTTACAGCACAAGTTAGCAGAAAGGAAAGGGCCCCACACCTTGTAAACGGCCAACTTCTCTGCCTATGTCTGTCCCCATCACTTCAAGGGGTTTATTTTGGGAACAAATTGAGTTTAGGTGTCTCTGCTTAAACTGATTTTGGACAAGTGGCTTCTTGGAACAGAAAGTCCTCTGGAAGCCAGGCAGAGAGGAGCACAGCTAATGTACTTGAGTCCTGGCTCCTGGGGACAGGGTCCTGCACACAGTACCTTGACACACTGGATGCTGGCCTGTCTCATGCTGCTGCTCCTGTCAATGAGGAAGATGAACTCCCCGTGGGTCTTCCTCAGATTGGGCTGCACAGACTGGAGGTCAGGACAGAAGTTGAGCATGATGACGGAGTGGTGGGGAATGTCTTTGTGGAGACGCTTCCGGATGACTTCTGTCTGGAGGAGAAGGGAACACTCTCGAATTTGGTGGGGTGTAGCTGTTTCCTCCTAACAAACATGTCTTCCCATAGGAGGGAGGCACCCTAAGACTCAGGAAGGAGATTAAATTTATATGACTTGGGAAATCAATACAAGTCACAGGTCTTGGGGTGGGAGTGGGGTTTCCTGAAACCTACAGGACTCACAAGGTTCTAGAGGCAGCCCAAACTGCTGGGAAGGGTGGGGGGCTCTTCAGTGTGCCTAAGTTGTCTAGGGAGCTCCAGGGATGCAGCTTCCTTGAGTCATTGCTCATGATTGGTTGGGCTGCTTACGGCGGCAGCTGCTTTTCAGTCAACCAGGTCCCTATTAGTGACCCTATACATACATACTGGTTCACTAATTCACACTTGGGATGGAATCACTTTAGCCCATTGTTGGTGGCCTAGCTTGGGTGTACAGACACTTGTTAACATCACTCCAGAAAAGGTCATACAACACTTGAGCAATTGAGGAAACCTGGGGACTCATGCTAGCCCCCTTACCACTCACCAAGAACCAGCTAGGTCCAACTTACACTCTATGCCCAAAGCTTCCAGGCTGGCTGTCCCTGGCTTCTGTGCTTGCTCAAAGATTACAGGCAGCGGCACAGCTTTGCCTGTTCTGAGTTTGAACCCCAACTCTGACACCATCTGACCATGTGGTATTAGCTAAGTCCTTCCTCTCGGTGTCTCCTCACATGTACAGTGGGGTGCAAACATGGACCTCTCCCAGTGGTGGTGAGGATGAGTTACATTAGCACATAATCGGAGAACCCCCTCACTGAGTAATGGTAAGCCCCTCTCTGGCTCACCTTGGTCAAGAGCTTGGTTCCTTCTGCTTACTGATCCCTCCTGCTGGTAAATTGTTACTTCTCCTTCACATTTTTTCCCTTCCATGTGAATATTCTTGCTCAGTTTTCCCATGCATGAAATGAGCATGTGTGCATGCCTCATGAAGTTGTCATGTTGATGTGATGCCGTACCTGTGACAATGGCTGACTGGCAGAGTCAGTGCCATTATTGTTGCTGTGGCTGCCTTTGCCTGTCCTGGGGGATTCTGGCACCTCTCATACTGAATGCAGCATTTGCTCTGCTCTCTGCTCCCCTCAAGCTACTGTGCTGCATCCGCTGCATCCTGGTCTGGTCCCTTTTTATCTCCAGGGATTCCCATGGTGTTCAGTTAGATGGATCAGTGACAATGAAGAAGGACAGTGGCTTCAGTACTTCTCTCTCTCTCTCTCTCTCTCTCTCTCTCTCTCTCTCTGTGTGTGTGTGTGTGTGCGCCCACGCATGTGCATCGTGGAGGTCAGAAGTCATCTTTGAGTGTCTTCCTCAGTTGCCCTCCACCTTAGTTTTTTGAGACAGGATCTGTTACTGAACCCCATCTTTGCCTCCTCAGTGCTGGGACCACAGGCCTCTGTGTGCCTGGCTTGTATGTGGGTCTGTTGAGGGGACTCAGACTCCATGCTTATATGGCAGGCACTTTATTGTAAACCTTCCACCAGCTCACTTCCTACTCTCATTTGTTTTCCCATGATGCATTGTTCCTGTTGTTGCTGTTGTATGTGTACAAGCGTACAAGGCTGTACACGTGCAGGTCAGAGGGTAACTTGCAGAAATCAGTTTTCTACCTTTACCACGTTGGTTCTGGTGATTAAAATTAGCTTTTCCAGCAGGTGCCTTTCTCCTCTGGCCTTTTATTTTTATTCTGGCTTGGGGCCTGCCCCAGGCTACACGCCTCTGCAGAGTCCTTCTTCTGACTCTCGGCTCGCCTAATTCCGAACTGGATCTATATTTCCTCCACCTGCACTTCCCCCATCGCAGGATGTCTGCGTCCACACATCTCTCTGTGTCTGTTTCTCATTCTCCCCTTGTCCCTTCTCCATCTTAACTGTGGGCCTCTGCACTCATCCTGTGCTCATTCCAAAGACAGAGCCATTGTCCTCAGCGGTCCCCTATTCCAGACCCCGCCCAGCCCATTCTTCAGCACAGGCTCACACTCCTTACCTAACAGGCACTTAGACTCAGTCTATGTCTCTGTGGCATTGCCCAAGTTTGGGGCAGGCTTTTCTCTTGCCTCCGCAGACACTTCTTGCTGGCTCATTTTTCTTCCCTGTGCTCCATGTACACAGCAGCAGCCAGCAACAGCTTCCCACATACTCTAAGCCTAGTAACAACACTGTGCATTATGAAGCCCTAGGTGTCCATCCACTACTCAGCTCTGAATGTTTCAGCCGCATGCATCCTGCTATTCTGCTTGCCGTTCTGGAGCAGGTGCTCTATGCCCGCTCCTCTCCCTGCGGGCCTTCTGCTGCCGGATCTTGTTCTCAAATGGGCATTTTGACACCTGGCTAAAGAGTGCCTGGCATCATATTATTCGGGTCTACTTCTCACATGTCCTCAACTCTTCTCCCAGCCAATCTTGCTCACTTGCTGGCCTTCCTGTGCTAGGATAAGCTCCTTGAGGAAAGGAATGTGACCTTTCCAGGGCTGTCTCCCTAGTACCAAGGAAGAGCCTGGTGTCAGTTGGGCGTTCAGTGTTTGCTGAATGAAGAAAGGAGACACTGGATCTTTCTCTCTCTCCAACCCCTGCCCCCTCTCTGTGTGCATAGTCTCTACTGACCTCTCTGTGCACCTTTTGGTTAGTTTGTTTAAGTCTCTGTTTCTCTTTGGCCCCGTGTCTCCTCCATTCTGTGTCTTGCCCTTTCTTTGCTAAGGTCAGCTATTGACAGTTCATCCTTCCTAGGTGATGCTCGAGTTCTAGATGTCCCTGACCTGACCTCTTTCCCACCTGTGGGTCCTACTCTTCCTCTGACGCAGAGCCCTCTTTGCCAACATGCCACTACCCAGCTTGGCTTATTGGATGTCAGAGCCCAAAGCGGAAACAGCTCTGCCAGCCACAGGAGCTCCTTCCAGCAACCCAATTCTGCCTTTCAGAGGGACGGATGGGTGCTTGGCTCCAGATTCCCTAATGGCTTCTTAAGCTGCCATTATCCAATTACAATAAACTCATCACTTCTGAGCAGCTTCCTCTTAGTCGTTGACATTCTCAGAACTCTGTGAGGATACAGGCTATTTGTATAACTAACCCAAGGTAGCAAATTAATTCTCATTTGCCACAGTGGTCCCAGAGATAATTGATTTAAGGTCTGGCAGGCAGGCCAGCCATCTCCAAGCCTGGGCAGCAGGATAGGGCAGCGTTACCCTCTCCACACCATCATTTGTTCTGGGAGCTTGGTGGCACTTCTGGTATGCCATGCTTGCCATCGCCTTTGAGACCTAGCTCAACTTCTGTTTCCAGCAAATTCATCTGCAAGGCAGTGTCCCCACCTCTGTAAGCATAACGATGACACTAGGCTCCCTAGGCCCCCTCCAGTCCCCCCACGTCCAGCAGGGGTTTCCGCTGGGGTCTCCCACAGTGGGGATGGCGCAAGCACCTTTGCTGTCCATTTCCCATCTCACTGCCCTGTACCAGAAGGGCAGTGAGAAGGTGACAGACAGTTAAGTGCAGGTGCACTGCACCTCACTCTAGGAGGTCCTCTAGCCCAGATATCCCCGGATCTAACTCTAGAGATAACACTGGGCACCAGACCCCAGACTACTTAGCAGCAAACGAGCTGTTAGAAAGCGACGTGTCATCACGCTGAAATTTGACATGCAGGGTGTGCGCTGTGTGGGGAGATCACGGGGCTCACCATGTGGCTGCTCATTCTGCACCCTGTCCCTGCCCTCCTGTAGTCAGTGCCTCTTTACCCTTCAGTGTGGGGCTTGCGGAAAGGCAGAGGGAAAGGACCTTTCACTTGCTTTCCTCGCCCTTCTTCCATCCATTTTACAGCAGACAGTGAGGACTCCAGATGGAAGAAGACCAGGGAGCCAATTTAGCAGACGGAGGCCTGGGAGGTGAAGAGGGAGCTGTCGGGTCAGACTGGCCTGGAGCAATAAGACCAAGATGGCACCTGTAGTTAACTGCAAGTCTTGCCAGGCTTAGGGATGCTGGGAGAGACTAGGAGAAGCTGACCTGGCAGGGGCAATGGATGGGATGACTGCTGCATTAGGAAATCCTTTCCTGCCTGCCCTGTGGTGTCTGGGACCCCAGCAGGAAACACCTCTTACTTCTTGTCCAGACTCTGCCACCAGCACGTGTAACCTCAGGGGAGTCATGCCCTCTGCTTCGGGCTCGGAGGGCTCAGTGGTTCAGTGAGACCCAGTGCCCAGTGGCTCACCTTCCGCTCGGCGCTGCTGTCCTTCCTCGTCCTCCTAATGAAGTCTGCTTTTCCCTTCAAGTGCTGCTCAAACTCCCGCAGTGTCATGTCGCCTTTCTCCACCAGGACGTGTGGCATGTGGGGCTCTGCATGGACAAGATCAGCACTCAGCGTTTGCCTGGGTGTGAGGGCAAGTGGGGCTGTGGTCTAGGGGTGATTTCTTCATGGGTGTGGGTGTGGGTTCTTTACTGGAGGAGAGGGTGACATCTCTGGATACGTGAAGCAGTAGGGGCCAGGGGAAGACTCCTTAGTGGAAGAAGCCTAGCACCACCTTCTGTCCATGGGCCTCAGTTTACCCTTACATAAAATGGACTTGGGCTGAGCCAAATGCTTGAAGGAGGCAAGGAATGACTCCAAGAGTTTATAAAGTGCTCAGCCAACCTAGGGGTTCAAGGCTCCCCAGGCAGATGACAGCTAGGGCTGGGAATATGCCTGCTAGAGACAGATTTCCCTGGGGGCAAGTTTCTGGTCTGTTTGCCCACCTCCCACACACCCCAATTCTTGCCCTGGCTAGATGTCTTCCACGAGGGTAGGAGAGCCCCTAATGGGGTACCATACCACTGGGGTGGAGAAGGATCTCCACTGGCCGGTCAAAGGTGTGTTTGTTAGCCAAGGTGATGATGATGCTCTTGGCTGAGTGTGCAAATGGGGCAGCATCTGCACGGATTTCATGCGTGGGACTCTCCACCCCTGAGTATCACAGAAAGACAGAACAGAGGAGGGGCAGATTTAGGAGCGCAAGAGAGAAAGGAGCTCAGACGGGAGGGTGAGACCTGGGCTGTTGAGATGATTGGCAGGCTGGCCCCAACATGGACTCCTGTCTTCATTGTGAGCATGTATGCCCTCCTCAGCTTCCTCATAGTGTAGACTGTCGTAGATGATGCTCAGTGGTCCTTCCTTTCCTGACCACAGGCTCTAGCTTACTCCTGAGATGCAGGGTGTACCCCAATGCTGCTAAGCAACCAGAAAGAGCTCAAAGCTCCATGGGTGGAGCAGTTTTGGTGGTGCATCTCCACATTTCCGTAAACACTCACTGATAAGAAACCATACCTGTACCCTTGAAACCAAAGCTGGCTGGGAGGAGAGCCACCCAACCTCAGTTCTCAGCCCTGGCTGCATGTTGAAATTACAAAGGGAATTTTACAATGGTCCATAACCAGAATGCACCCCAGAATCTCTGGGGGTGGGGACTAGGCTGCAGGAGGGTTTGAATACTCCCCAGGAGGGAACCAGAGCTCAGTTTTATAGCCTTGGCCTTCTGGAGAAGGTTGAGCTACCTACCACTCTCCAAAAGGTATTTCCCCCAGGGAAGTCATAGGATAGGGCTGGGGTAACTTGAAAGATGTCCCAGGGAGAGGTTTATCTTGGACCAGCTTGCCCATCTAGCTCTGAGTGGTTACGCTTGACTTCTATCTGGAGTAGGTAGTCTTAGTGACCTCTTGCCTGGAGGCTTTGGGCCTGAAGCCGTATCTACTCCAGTCTTCTTTGTCTCTTTAGGCCTGGATAGCTCCCTCTCACCTGCAAGCAGACATGGCCCACGGATCTCCAACTGAAAGCTGAATTCATATTCCATTGGGTTGGTCACCTCTGTATCCAGGAGAGTGGCCAGACACAGTCCATTCCAGGAGTCTGTGGTCTGGATGCCAAAGCAGTGTGGGTCTTTGCTAGAAAGGTGTATGGAGGGGGAGGAAGATGGAGGGGAGGAGGAGGAAGATGAAGGGAGAAGGAGGAAGAGGAGGGGGAGGAGGAAGATGAGGAGGGGGAGGAAGAAGAGAAGGGGGAGGAAGAGGAGGGGAAGGAAGAAGGGGAGGAGGTTGTGGAGGGGGAGGTAGATGGAGGGGAAGGAGGAAAAGGAGGGAAGAAGGAAGAAGCCCAGACAGAGGAGAGCCAGCACAAGACGACTCTGAGTCTCAGATAGCTCAGCCTCCTCCCATCCCCAGACCTCTATCATCTCAATCAGTCTGACTCCAAAGAGACACTATAACTGCTGCTGAGGAGTACCTGGGATGGGTCAAAATCCAGGCATGGGTTCCCAGTGCCTCAGCCCTCATCATTCTTACCACAAACCCAGGAGGAGGACATCAGCACCCAACGCTTCCTATATGAGGATCTGAGGCAAACAGGGGAAACTCACTCATGGGTCTATGGCTAAGACTTGGCAGAGCTGGCATCCTGGCCCAGGTTTGCCTGGTTCTGGTATGAAAGGACTTGCCGTGCCACACTGCCTTGTGTCTATGATCTATCACGCATCTCAGTGACCCCCTTAATGATTTTCACTTATTCTGCTTCTAAGCTCCGTCCACATGGCTGTCACTCAAAGTGCCTGCTGTTTACTTGATGCCACATAGGGCTAGCCGTTGCCATGCACTTACTTCTTTTCCATGCTCACTAGTGTTACCACCAACACTCATACCCTTACTGTGTTGTATCTCCTTCGGCCTTACAAAGAACATTTCTTTGGGTCCCCAGGTAAAGTGCACACACTGATTGTAGTCATACTGCTTTCCTGGCTTGTAGTGTAAATCCCATTATCCTGGCAAGGAGTGGGAGCCCCTTCTTTCCCATGCCCTGGCAAATACTGCCATCAGCGGGCTTTCTAGTTTTCCTTGTGTCCAATTTGGGCAGCTGTGAGGTTCATGGGTGGGAGGGGGTTGATACTGATGTCTTCAGAGCATCAATGTCAACTCCACCAGGTGGAATGAGGGGCTAGCTCACTGGGGATCTCTGGTCTACTAAAGTCCAGAGTGCTCCAGCAAGATCCTGCCTTTCAAATCCACGCCATCGCCCCATGGGCGGCACTTGTAAAGTGACATGCGGGCTAATGGTACCTGCCCAGGTCAGCTTTGCTACCTGCACCTGGAGTCTTCAAGACCTACACGATCTGTCCCACCATCCCGTGAGCCCTGCTCCTCATCTTTCACTGCACGATAGCTGTTTTCAGCCCGACACTAGCCAATCAAACCTGCTGCAGCCTCGGGGCCTTTGTACACTCCGCCTTAGGGCTCCTCTAGAATACATTCCCATAGCTTCCTGAGCAGTAGAGCATTTATATAGCAAGTGTAAGGGTCTGGCTTCCACCCCCAGCAGCTCAGGAGGGGGGGAGGAGGAGAGGGAAGAGGAAGAGAAAAGGAGGAGAAAAGAGAGGGGAGGAGGAAGATCATAGCCACTGTTTAATCTTGGCCTCTTCTATAAGACAGTAGCCACACCATCCTGTTCTCTTCCCCCACCCCACCCCCTCACCACACACAGTTAACACTTGTTTTCAGAGATAACGGTCTCAGAGCAGGTTCCTCTCAGGCCATGGCTCTCCCTCCCTTCCCACACTGTAGGACACCCCCCCATTGCCCAGCTGGAAGCACTAGTGGCCCTTTGCTGCCTGGGGGAGGTCCAGAGTATGCAGGGCTATCCTAGCCTATCACCCGTTGCCTGTGTCAGTTCCTCCCTAGGGCTCTGTCCTCACTGTCATGCTGTCGATGAAGCCTGAGCCTGGTCTGGTCTCTGGATACCCAGGACAGGACCCCTTCTTCATCTTCCTAGCCCAGAGAACTTCTCTCAAGGCAGTTTTTATGAAATTATGCATTCAAGCCACATTCATAAAGAAATCATTTGACTGCTGAGTGATAATAATGATCTCTTCCCTTCGGATTGTTGTTGTTTGGGGACAGGACCTCACTATCTAGTTCTGGAACTCACAATGTAGGCTAGGCTGGCTTCAAACTCACAAAGACTCATCTGCCTGCCTCTGCCTCCTGCATGCGGGGAGGAAAGGTGCATGTCATCAAGCCTGGCTCCCCTCAAAGTTTGCTTGTTTCTTTTTGTTTTTTGAGATGGAGTTTCTCTGTGTAACAGCTCTGGCTGTCCTGGAACTCACAGAGATCTGTCTGCCTCTGTCTCCCAAGTGCTGGGAGGTGTGAGTTACCACTGCAAGTTTCCAAACAGCATGACTCATGTTGTTTCATCCCTTCTCTATCCCTAACACTTAGTTCTAGGGTTAACCATATAGTAGGTACTCAGAAAAATCCCTCTGAAATGCACTGAAAAATAACCCGGAAGCCTTGCACTTCTGCCAGTACCAGAATGGGCATTTCTGGCAGACTGTTCTGAAAGTAAACGAGCCCCAAAGCACCCCCCCATCTCCTTCCTGTTGCCCCTGACCCAGTTGTGGTCTGGGAAGGGTCTCCTTACCCTTGAGCCTGTTGGCTGGAGGAGCCAGAGCTGTGGGAACAGAACTGAGGCACTGTGGGGGCACAGACAGCCGGCAGAAGGACTCTCACAGCCCCGCTGGGCAGCGTGGGGAGTTCCGAGGAGGTGCTGATGAAGATGGTGACGTTCTCCATGGGCGCAATGGTCCCCAGGTTGACCACGAACAGAATCCGCTCCAGGTCCTCATCCAAGGCCACCTTTCCCGGTGCGCAGGAATGAGGGGCGATGGGAATTCCCTCTTGTGGAATGTTCCCTAAGTGCCAGGTTGGCGTCAGGTGCAGTGCAGACCTTGTCTTTGACCCCCTCCCCTCTAAGCTTGCTGTGGGAGTAGCCTTGAGCAGCCCCCTTTTGCTGATGGGGAAACTGAGTCCCACCATGGAGCTTGCCTAAGCTGCACAGACAATTATTAAGTCATTGGCTGGGTCCTGTGCCCTCATGGGTCTGACCGGAAGCTATGAATTTCCATTAGAAGATTCAGGGCCACAGAGAGCACCCACCAGAGTATCACATGCCCACCCCACACCAGCTGGAGCACTCCTGCATCTGCTCATGGGCTTTGCTTTGATGTGAAAGGCTCAAAGTGCCACTGGACTAATCTTACCCACCCATCATCCCCCCTCATGAGAGCCACCCGAGTCCCCAGTCAGGACTCCCTCCCCCTCTTCTAACACCATCAGGACCTTTCCAAGCACAGCCACTTTTGATGTCCCATCATGGTCATTCCTGGGAAGGTTCTAGCAATTTTCCCAGGCCATGAAAGATCACCACACACACACACACACACACACACACACACACACACACACACACACAGAGAAGGTGCTGTCATGAATGCTGGTTTAAAAATCAGTGTACATCTGGACACTCAGGTTAACACCTTCAGTTTCATCTGACAGCCAATGGTCCAGTTTGCTTACATTATGTGCTTCTCCTAAGATGCTGTGTGACCTTGATGACCTTGAGTCTGCCACCATCTCTTCTCTTTCTGAGCCTCAGCTTCCTTACTTGCAGGAATCAGCAGCTATGCTGGCAGGAACTTACTGTGGCCTAAGTTCTTGGTATGCACCGTTTTAGCCCTGAGTGGGTCTGATTACTTACTCTGTCTTCCAGGTGTCTGTGTGTGTGTGTTTGTGTGGGTGTGTGTGAGTGTGTGTGTGCATGCGCACTTGAGCACTCATGCACATCTGTCCACAGGTGCACACACTCACGAGTACATCAAGGCCAGAGGGGATTTGGGGTGCCTCCCTGCATTTTGTTTCCCACTCTTCCCTTGAGGCAGGGGCCTCTTGCTTGGAGCATGAGGATTTTTGGCTAAGCTGGTTCATCAGTAAGCCCCAAGGAAATTCCCATCTCTGTGTCTGTCCCAGTCTCTGTTCCCACCCAGTGCTGGGGTCTTAAGGTCAGACAGCCATACCCAGATTTTATTTGGATACTCGGGATCTGAACTCAGGTCTTTATGCTGTGCAGCAAGCTCTCTTACTATCAAGCTGTCTTCCCAGTCCTCAGACATGTCTTTTTTTTTTTAATCTAAGCTCACATCACTCATGAAAAATAGGATGAAAAATTGGATAGCCCCTGGAGTGACTCACTCCACACATCTCCTGAGCCAGAGTGATCTGGAACCTGCCCTCTTTGGATCCTCATGGCACCTTGAATGTGACAATGAAGCTGAGGTCCTTAGAAGTACATGATAGTCTCAAGGTCATACAATTCCAGCTGCAGTTCAGCACCCTCCCCCATGTCCCATGCTGCCTCACCATGTGCCTGAGGCTCTGGCTGAGGAGGCTCCTTCCAAGCCAGCCTCACCATGCTCTGTGGGGACTTCTTACCTGTGACAGTTGCAGACTGAATATCCAAGTGACTTCTGTCCAACTTGGCTTTGTCTTTGATCTGTATGGTCACAACACGATCAGCAATGACAGCCTCAAAACCAACCACTGTGGTATACTCATCCAATGGATATACGAAGAGACCTGGCAGAGTGGGACCCAGGGTCACAGGTGTTCCGTCCCATCCTACACGCCCAACTCCCAGAAGGGAGTCAGCCTTGGATCTGCCAGGGTTGTACATAGACTGTACTCACTGCCCCTGAGGGGACATGGTAGACCTGGGCTGGGATCGGGCAGGTGAGGGCAACAGCCCACAGTGTGAAAAAGTGCATCTGCATCTAATTCCCAACAGCTCTTAACTCTTGGATGGTGTGAGCTTCTGGGGCCGGAAAGTTCAGTTTTCAAGGAAAATAAAAACTTGGGCTGCTGTGTAGGCTGTGTCTAGGCTTAGCAGTGTATGTCTGGGTGGTGAGTTTGGTCCATGATTACTGGCTTGCCACTGGCATGGTCAATGGGTGGGGCTGTGGAAGAGCTAGAGAAGGGTTCAAATCCAGGCCTTTCTTGTTTCTTAACCCTGCTACATTGGACAGGACACACATCTCTAAGTCTGGTAACCCCATCTACAGCAAGCCTCATGGTACCATTTTTTAAGCGATGTACCACACAATAGGTGTCACACATTTTTATATCCTTATGTTTCCTGAGGTTCTAGGGATTGGACTCGTGGCCTTTCACAATGTAAGCAAGTGATCTACCGCTGAGTTACAATGCCACTCCTTTTGTTACTTTTTTTTATTTTGAGACAGGGTCTCACTAAGCTGCCTGGGATAGCTTTGAACTTGCTACACAGCCTAGCCAAACCTTGCATTTTTAATCTTTTTGCATTAGCCTCTGGAGTAGCTGGGATTACCAGCTAGCATCAACATGTCTTGCTATCATTTTAGAGCCAAACTTCTTCTCTGTGAAGAATATGCTAGTCACCTGAAGGTGTTGTTGGCCTTTGGATGTGAATTTGTTTAGGAAGAGCCTGACATTCCGCATTTCTAGTCTGTTTCTAAGTGATGCTGAGCTTGAAGGCCTCATTTCAACTCCTCTCTAATGTGGAAACAGCTCAGTGCTGGGATCATGGTGAAACCTCCACAAACCCTGACTTTCCTGTCCTCCAGTGCCTCGGTTTCCTTATCTATAAAATGGAACTCTTTCCCCTGCAAAAGGGAAGCTGAGGGGCCTGTCTTGAAGCTTTTGGGTTTTGTCTCCAGGCTCCCCAAGTAGGCCCTGTTTTCGGTCTCCAACTCTAGGCCCTGTCAGTCAGAAGAACAAGGGCATTTGCTCAGCCCAAATCCCCAAGGATAAAGTACCCATGTGGGTTCCTTTCAGGTAATGTGGCCCCAAGGGTGGCACCAGAGTGGGGGCGGAGTCTGGGGTCGGGGCTGGGAGAATGGGCTAGCCATTAGGAGACTCCATCGCCCTGAATAAGAAGGGAATCCAGGTTGGATGTAGTGACATATGCCTGCCATACCAGCACTTGGCAGGCAAGGCAGGAGGGGTGCTGAGGCCAGCTAGGACTGCACAGCGAGTACCAGGCTGCCAGAGCTACACAGCGATACCCTGCCTAAAAAAATTAAACAAACAAGCCAAAAGCCACCCAACCAATAAGTAAACAAGCAGAGGGAAAAGGGGTTAGGGGAGATACTCCTGCCCACAGTTAATCCCTGGCCAACCTCTGCCAGTCCCTTGCTTGGGGGAAGGAGAGGTGTCTGCAGCCAGCCCCTGCCCTTTACCCAGACTACTCTCCAGTGATTTCCACCCACACAGCTCTTCTTCAGGTATTGTTTCTTTATCAATCCCTCCCTACAGACCTTCAAATCATGACTCCCCTTGGCTTTTAACTCCTTCACTTTCAAACCTGCATAGCGGTCCTGGGAATCTCACTTTATAGATGAGGGAGCAGAACAGAAAGTCACACACTTGGCCAGTAGTCAGCCAGTAAACCACCGGACAAGGAAGGGCTCCACAGGGTGTGGGGCTGTGGATCCAGGAATTCCACATGGGGTTACCTTGGAAGGGCTGAGTCTCCAGGTTGCCGTAGGTAAGGGAGGCTGTGAGACCCAGGGCATAGCCACTGACGTAGGAAGTGATATCAGATGCAGCGAGAGGCAGGGCTGCCCCCGTGACACAGTTCAGCAAGCCAGGCATTCTGTTGGCTCCTCAGCTCAGGGCCTGCAGGAGACAGGGCAATTGGGTACATGAAGAGAGCCCATAACCCTCCAAGGCTAATCTCAACTGAATGCCCTAGAGCCTGTGATCTTCATTTACAACAGGGACTTCAGAGTTAGTGAGTATCCTGAGAGAAGGCCTACAGTCTGTCCCCACTCCCATCTTTTATCTAGGAACTTTCTCCTCCTCCTCCAGAATGGTAGAGGCCAAAGCATCTGTGCCCATCATCCTTCATCCCTCCCTCTTAGCCCATCTTTTCTCAGGTGTTATATTCTAATCAGTTCACCTGAACATCTTGGTTATTTTGTAACTGTTTTCTGAACACCGATGTGGACAGGACCTAATTTTTTTCTCCACTGACCTCCCAGTGCCAACTAAGTGAAAAGAATAACAAATTGCTTCATCCTTTTAACCTCTAGCCCTTCTGGGTGCCAAGTCTTCAGGACCGGAACGGAGATGTGACACGGCTCTGAGGCTCTGAGGACCTCCCACATAGCCAGATGCTTCTGACTGGTGGGGAGCAAAGGGAATAGGGTCACATGTTGGAGGTGGGGTTCTCTCTGGGTTTCCCTCTCTATGTCTGAGCCAGGCAAAGCTTCCATGGCTGGTGAACTTTTACCATCTGATAGCACTATTTGTTAAGTGCTGATTCCTCTGCCCCTTCTCGGAAGGTTGTGCCTCCGGCCTTGGTCCTATTGATGTCCCTAGTGAGTTCGTCGGGTGCTCCCCCATGGCCTGGCCAGCATCATCTTTTTAATTACCTTCTCTCTTGTGGCTGGAGCCCAGACAGCTCTGGCCAGGCTTATCTCCTGGCAGGCTGACTGATAACTGGAGGCAGAGAGCTGGGAGCACACTGCTGTTCCAGGGTTTTGCTTTCTGTCCCGGTGGCCAGAGCAGAGGCTGGCCTCTTGCAGGAGCCAAAGATGACGGACTTCATTTCCCGAGTGAACTGTATCCCACGCTATCTGAGGCACTCCCTCCTCCTTCTTCCCCGCTCACTACTGTTCAGAATGTTGATGGGGAAAGCAAAGGCACACTAGATGTGTGGTGAACTTGGGTTTAAGATTTGGTGCATTCTGGGATAGAGAGTGATGGGGGCTGCTTGTCCAGCCCACTCCTCCTATACTGAGCCTCACCCATAGAGTGGGTGTGGATGGGAGATTCTGGGAACCAAGGCCAGACTGACTCAAAAGAGACTGACTTGATGCTGGCCCACAGTAAGGCCAATGATTGACAAATGGGACCGATGAGATTTAAAAGCTTCTGTACAGCAAAGGAAGTAATTATGTGAAGGGATGATCAACAGAATGGGAGGAAATCTCCACCCATCTGGTAGAGAAGGCTAGTAAATCAAAACTAAACAAGAAATACAATGAGCCAATTGATAAATGACTTAAGGAAATGAACAGTTCTCAAAAGGTGAAATACAGATGGCCAAAACATTAAAAAAAAAAAAAAAAACCTTCAACCTCACTAGCCACCGGAGAAATGCAAGCCAAAACCATGCCAGGAGTCCATCCTATCCCCCAGAATGGTAGTCATATAGAAAAATGTGGCATGTAACATGCTGGGAACATTTAAATTCATCAAGGGGAATGAAGTCACGTCATTTGCAGGAAAACAGATGCAGCCAGGAATAATCACATTACAGAAAGACAGATGCCATGTTCCCTTTCACTTGGGGATACATACTATCACATATATGTACATGTGTATGCTCGCTCGTGTATTGTGAAAGTGGAAGCAAAGTTGTCAACGGAGGACAAAGGGCACCAATGGAAGGAAAAGAGGCAAGACAAAAAGGACGGACAGAAGTATGTAGGTGCTCAACAGTATACACATGTACAATAGCTTGGAAAGAAGAAGCTCCCTGGAGTGATAGATTTTAAACGCCAAGGGCCCTTATTCATGCACATTTTCCAGCACTGATACATTTCTACTGTGTTCCAGATCCTCTATAGCCTCCGAGGAGACAAAGACAAGACACGGCTTTATCTCAGAGAGTTTATAATCTTGTAGCAGATGAAACCAGTGAGTAAGAAGATGCAGCAAATGACAGCGAGGATTTATGAAGCGATGACAATGCGCCAAGCACAAACATTGTCTTGTCTTGCTTACTTGGCAGAACTGATAAGGTGTTAAGCTTTTGCTGACAGGACACTGAGCCCTGGAGAGAGAGCAATGTTTGGTCCTAGGTGTGAGTTTGGTGGTGTCTGAAGGATGTAATGACACAATGGGTACCATGTCTGCTGTTCTTTCGGAAGGAACCTGGGGTCGTTGGAGAATGGTTATGTAGGGTGTCTTTTTTCCCGGCTCCTTTTCCAGCCTGGGCCTCCAGCGGGGAGTAGGTTCTAGTCAATCCTGAGAAACAGGGACAAGCCCTCCTACACATCTCCAGATCTGTGTGAGAGACCCTGGCTTGGCCTGAGTTTGGAATCTAGAATAGACTGAACATTCAGTATGTCAAGGTGTGATAGTCAATATCTTGACTAGGTTAATTTTAGGTGGGGGAGACCAACTCTTAAAAGTGGGTGGCACCGTTTCCCAAGCGTGGGTCCCAGGACAGATGCAAAGAAGAAAGTTGGCTTCACATGAGTACTCAAGGCTTTTGATCTACACAGAAACTTCTAGGCCAGCTAGGGCCAGTGACACCCTGTCTCAAAACAAACAAAATTCTTAAGAGAGGCCGAGGAAGGCAGGAAGGAGGGTTCTAGAGAAGGATGCTCTGAGTTATCATTAGTTTGCTGTTTCACGTTCCCTGAGAGGTAGATGGAATGATGAGAATGGCGTGGGGTGCGAGACCAGTTTTCCCTGGATCTCATGCTGGATGAGCTCTCCATATGAATTCTGTGTGGCTTTCTAGGGCATCAAAAGTGGCCTCTGGTGGCTTAGAAATGCTGAATCTCAAATGATGGCCTTCTGCCTGGTCGGGACATTACTTGTATTTATGTCTGGCTCAATAAATATTTATAAAGTAAAAATGAATGAGTGAATATCAGCTGCCACAAGGACATTAAAGGACACTTGGTGCCGGGCTTCTGCAGGGGAACAAGGCAGGTGTGACTATAGACATTAGTGCAAGAGACAGATGGTAAGACTGCGCATCTAGAATCTGACCCGTTCTTGTCATTGCCACAGCTGCCACCCCACGGCTACCTACAGTCTATTCTCAATGGAGCTATTAGAACAATGCTTTGAAGGCAAGGAGCCAGTCCTGTGACTGCCATGGTTCAAATCCTCTGATGTGTTCCATGCATCTTAAGGCCCTACAAACTGGTTTTCCTTGTGACCCACCCCTTCCCCATGATTTCTTCTCTCCAGCTCTTCTATATTTGGTCCTTTGCACTGGCTATCCATACAGCTAGAAACAGTCTCCTTCTAGATATCTACATGGCTTGCTCCCCTTTCGGGCCTTTGCTTAGGCAGGCATATACTCAGAGAAGCCCCTGAGAAGCTTCATTTAACCTTGCAACCCCTTCTCTCCACCTTTTCCGGCAGGACTTACTTGGCTTTCTCTTTGTGCCTTCTGTGGTTGTCTCGCCCGCACATTACAGATAACTGTTTATTCTGGCTATTGTTTAGCATGTTTCCCTTCCGCATGGCAAGGCCAGAGCCTGGTTTTCTCATTGCCAAATCCCAAACCCCTTGAACCAGACTTGCACCGATAAAGCGGTGGGGAAATATCATTATCAATTCATTCACAATCATAATCTCAAGCTGGCCCTTGGTCCTCATGAGGGAGAAAAGTGGCTACTAGATTCCTCAGTGTCTCTCCTCTGAGGAACGCTTGAAGTTGAAGTCATTAAGTTTAATTCTTGTGTGTGTCATGGAGTCCTTAAGCCTCCCTTTCCTCCTACAGCAAGGTCCCACTCTCTTGTAACAGCCTATCATTTCATAGAGAGGATGCTCTACCGGCTCCCGGCCATGGTCCACCTCACCGAGTCCCCCATAGTGCTATTACAGCCACCACTCCTTGCATCCCATTCAGCTGAACTCTGGATTAGGATGTACCTAACCTGTACTCTCTGCAGGATAGGCTGCTCTATCCCTGGGCTGGTACCTCAGTGGTTGGTGGAGATGGATGCCTTGCTCTTACTGTTCTGAGAATACCACTCATGTCATATAAAACAAAACAAAACAAAACAAAACACTCTCTGAGGGAACCCCAATGCCTTTGGGCTATTCCCTCTTTCTATTGCTTTCTGTGTTCAAGGACCCAATCACATATTTCAAGACCCCTGACTCAGAGCCTCTCTTTCCAGCCCTGCTGCCATCCTGGCTCCATTAACATCTCTGGGGACACTGTATCTGCTCCTGCATTCATCTTGACCTAGCATCCTTTGCTCTTTCCTTCTTGCTTTGTCTCCACTTTCAGCTTCAGACTGCACTGGTGACTGCTCTGGGCTACTACTCACAGCTTCCCAGACTGCCCTGCAGAGTCCCGTCCTTAGTGCACACACCTGTTCAAATATATATTTTGTGTATATATTTTGTGTCTAACGTGTCTCTGCACTCTCTCCTAGAGTATGACTCTACCAGGGTGGGATTCTGTTTTAGCTTGTTTGCTGTTGTATCTGTTACCTAGAGAACAGTGTCGGCACACAGCAGATGCTCGGTGAATGGAAGAAGCCCACTCGGAGTGCCTTGAACATATAATTTGGCAACGTGTCTTAGCGGCAGCTATTCTTTCCTTAAAATCTCCTATTATGATTTATTTACCGTGTGTGCGCATGACACAGCATGCCTGTGGAAGCCAGGAAACAACTTGAGGGAGTCTCTTCTCACACCTTGTGAATGCCAGGTATTAAACTCAGCTGGTCCAGTTTGGCCGCAACCATCTTTTACTCTCTGGGACACCTTGCCAGCCCCGTTCTATCCCTTCTTTTATAGACAAAACACCAAAGTTCAGAGAGATGAGAGGACGTGTTCAAGATCCCATAGCTGGGAAGTGACGGTGTTTGGAGCTGAGCCCGAGCAGCAGGACTATGGAGTTCACATGCTTAAC